CGTTTTCTTCTTAGACGAATCCAAGTGGATTTCTATCATTAATTTTCATTGCAATCGACGAATTCCGCGTTAGAAATGGTACAATAGTTCGCCCTGCCTTTCCCTCTTTCCTCTTTCTTTTCTTATCAATATACCTGATTTCTTTCATTTTCGTGAAAAGTAATAATGAATTTTTCGGTACTTAAAATTTACTGTAAATAATAAACATTTTTAAATTTCTGATAGATATTGTATTGCGCTTATAAATATATACATACACTTGTACGTTTATAAATTTTTATTCTTTTAAAATATAAAATTAAACTATATATTTTTTAGATATTTTTATTAGAATTATATATCTACATATGTATAGTATGTATATATAGAAACTGTATAAATTTAATGTTTTTACAAGCATGTTTGCATTTTCTATAATGTAATAATTTATTAAATCTCCCGAATATTACTGGAAAATTAATACCAGTTAGCTCACTTTCTGTTGGCATAAACTTCTCAACGCAAACATCTGTAATTTCATACTCGATCGAGATATAGGAATCCTCAGCGAATGCCCGTTCACTTCGTAACTTTGTGATGCACAAACTTTTAAATTAAAGAGCGCATGGATAAAAGACGAAGTATCGATAACAGGTATTGGAAACAACTTTGCCAGCTATCAGTGCGTTGTTCACCAATTGAAAACTGTCAGCCGGCAGAGTTATCGCATTTAAGACAACGGCTATTTCGCTCTCCACCCTTCGTCCGGGGAATTACGATTAATGCGCCATTAAGAGAGATTGGAAATCGTTTCGACCCCGGAGACTTTCGTCGCCCAATGGCACGGACGACAAAGTTCCCACGGGCGTCCAGGATTTTGCATTCCATTTGCCGGGAACGTTACCCAGCTTCGCTTTCGTTCTCCCGAGGGTGCACTCGCTGCTAGCAGACTAGTGGTAGCCACGTTGGAGGTAAATCGTATTTGCATGAGGGTTTCTCCAGCTCTCCTCAGGTAGATTTCGACGACCTCCAGTGTTCTATGACACTGTTCGTTGTTTCCTCGAGAAAGTTACGACGTTTCATTTCGAGAAGGCACTTTAAATCGTCGCGTGCGCTCTTATGTATGTAAAAACATCGACGTTCGAGCACACTTCTTCGTCTGTAACTGAATAAATCAAGTACACCTAAAATAAAATTAATTAAATAAGATTCAAAATTCTCGGGAATTTTACAATACTTTACCTTTTCAACGAAAAATAAGAATAAGTTAAGTTAAAAATTTTTTAATATGTATTTGTAAAATATGAATTTTATAAATTATTTATCTATTATTTATTGTTAAATAATTTTTTTTTAATTTCGCTTTGCAGCTAGTAATGGCGAAACTGAAATTTCGTTTTAAATTATAAGTATTTAATCATTGCGACATGACAATTGAATTGCAAGATCGAAAGGATTAAAACGGTATTTACGACACCAAAGCATTTCGCTGTATGTTTATCGTGAGGTAATCGTAAATTGCTATTGCACTTCTGCAGAAGAAATTATTGCGACTCGGTAGGAGCAAAAGATGGCAGCTGAATGTTTACGAGGAAACGGGACGCGCATACCTAGTCGATATTATGGCATTGAACTTGGCCCCGTGCCTGAAACTTTTTAATTTATTCGTGCAACCTTTGCTTTTGGAGTTTGTTAACCCTTCGCGGTCGTTGCCATTGGAGCAACGTCGCGTTGCGGCGGCTACTTGTTTTGCTGCCTGGTGATATATCATTCGGTGCGGTGCATCGAGCAGAATGTTCTCGAGCGAGCATTTTGCAATGTTCAAAGTTGAAAAGGGAAAAAATTACGATTTAATCTTGGTAATATTTTAGATGATTTTAATAATAAAATATTTTACACATACACACACACACTGAGAAAAATATCTAGTTGGATTAATTGAAATGCTGATTTAAAAGGGAAGGATCAGAATTTTTTTTATTAAAAGTACTGGAATTTTAGTTGAGATAATCGGAATTCTGATTGAGAATCAGAATCTCCCGATTCGTCCATTTTCAATCAGACATTTTTCTCAGTATACATATATATACTGCACTTTATTAAAGAATACGGCTACTGTTATATATTCCCTATGAACCCTCATACATGACTATTATTTGCTTCTATAATGTAATTTCGTAAAGAACTATAATAACAGAATATCATCATAAATTCTTTTATATTTTGAGTTAACTCCTCTACATATATTTTACGATTTTATATGTATATGTCTTATTATATAAAAATGCACAAGCTTCATCATTTCAATTACATTGTACTTTATACTAATACACTTAAGTTAATCCATTAGATAAATTGGTTACGATATTCATTAAATTAGTTTTTTAAATGAATCTATTTTTTATTTATACTTTTTTTCATTTTTCTTATTTTTATTTTTCTTATTTTTATAATAACTCATAACACACATATGTGTAATTTTATAATTTTGTACTTATATCTATGTATAATTGTATACATTCGCCTGTTTTATTTACTATTAATATGTTTAAATTTAAATTATGATTAAATATGTTTTTTTACCAAAAATCTTTTATTTTCTCATTTTTTTGTATTATATTATTTAGGAATCTGAAAGATTTAATTATTCATTTTAGTTATTCCTAATTTTTATCATTCCTAATTTTTTTAAACGTTTAATATTATTTGCCATACTATCTTTTTTTTAATTTGGCCTATTGCACTCTATATTCATGCCCTTTGCTGGCATTTAAGAGGGGTCGCCTAACATACTGCTACGGCCGCCATTATTCGTGGGAAATTCAGGGCGCGTAATCGCATTCTGACTCCCTCATTTAACGAGCGGAAACATTATTAACGAGCGTATACCCGACTTTTTTTTACCTCCGTGCACCATCGCCACCACCATCGCCGCTATACCGACGACTCTTCGTAGCTTCTTTTTCCCCCCTCTTTTTCTGAAAGCCATTGTCTATACGATCGTCGCGGTTTCTCAGCGACGTGGCGTGGGAAGGTTCGCAGGGCCTTAAAGTTCGCGCCGTTCAAGGTGAGGTGATATGCACAGGGAAGTCGAGTGCGCCACTCTAACCCAATTTATGTATCGAAATACATTGTTGTGAAGCAGCATTTATACCAAAATCGATGAGCGTTTCCCTTTGCGAATTGGTACGCTCACGGGAACTCCATTACAGTTGTCATATGATGAGTTCGTCGCTATACTTGACTATTCCGTGGAGAACTCCTGGGACGCTCATGGAATAACCCACTCCAGAAGTTTCCTATCCGAAAGCCAATTAGCTTGTCTAGTTGTATGGCAATTAGGACAGAATTTATGCATAGTCGATACTATGTGTCATACAAAAGTTTGTAATTATAATTCTATTTCATAACTTCCTTTTAATCACATTGCCTAATAAAGTTATATCAATTCAAACCAATTTTTGAAGGGCTTGATGCTAAAACTAAGCCGCTTAATTTTTTAAAAGGAGAGTTAAAAAAGAGTCATTTTTCTTCACATTTTTGTTCAAAAAGGTGTAAATAAAAGGAATAGTATATTTTATGCATTTTAACTTCATGTGTGGATATGATAAAGTTACTAAAAAGTTTGTAGCATTTGAGGAACATCTCGAAAATTGAGCATTATATGTGTATTTATTCGAATTGCAATATATTTGTTCAATTTTCGAAATGTCCCCCAAATGCAACGAATTTTTACAAACTTTATGTGAAAAGTCAAAATCTAAAAAAAAGAACACTATTTCTTTTACATACACCTTTTTCAGCAAATATCGGCTCTACTTTAATATCCTCCTTTATAGTATTAACAAAAAATGGTTTTAACAAATATGTTATGCAGAATATTTTACGCAGATTGTTAAAATATGCAAAGATTACTTTGTTAATACTAATAATGTTTTTGAATAAAAAAAAAACTTTATTGGTAATAATGGTTTTTATAAAAAAATATTTTTCTTAAATGAAGCTGCCAGTTTTTGCCTCAAAAATAAAAATCGAAAAATTAGCAGTGTCAAAATGTAATTTTATTCAATAAACAGTAAAAGTAGTAAAAATATTCTTACTGTTAATTTTAACTTCAATATTGTCGTCATCGATATCAAGTCCTTCTAAAAATGTTTATGATTCAATTGAATTGGTTACAGTACCATTTATTCACGTTATACTATTTATCATTCTCTGATACGTATTTGTCAACTAGAAAAGATTTTCTAGTTTTATTTAGAAGATAACCGACATAATATGGCTTTTTAATTACTCAGCCAGTTTTATTTATGATAAAATATTAATTTATAAATCTTGGATCTAACCATTTCTTACACAAAAAAAAAAACACGAAATATTTATCACGTTAAATTTACTTGAAAAGTTATTTTTGCAGAAAAAATAGAGCTGATTAGTTTTTACATTGAGTCTTTGAATTAATAATGTTTAATATAGATATAATTATCGTTTACTATATAAACTTTTTGGAAAAAGTATCTTAAATATTATTTCTATTTTGAGCATCTTAACGATGAGAAATTATATTAAAATTATGTTTATTTTTTGTTTGGATAATGTTACAAGCCATTAATTATTTACTTAGTTGATTCAAGAAACAAATGGTAATAACTGCGTTACTAGGTTATTGTGTTGTTATGTCAGAACAAAGACATTATAATTGCAAATTTATAAATCTAAATTTGAGTACATACGGCACACCATAAAAACATATTTGTTAAGGTTCGCACACTGTGGAAGTGGATTAAAGAGGCCCCGAGCCCTAATTAAGTAATTACTGAACGCGATTAATTTGCAGCCATAACTAATTAGTATCCATCCGCGACGGGATGAATAATAGCGTGTTTCAGTAGGGCAATAGGCCTTTCTCATCTTCTCCGCCTCTGTATCTTTAATTACATATTAATATGTAACCCACACAGCAATCAACATTTCGACGCGCGCATACTAATCGGTCGCATTGTTTATTCTTTTTGTTGCAGCCGGAAGAACGCGATCATTCTCAGAACCCAACTGTCCGTGAGGGTTCACACCATCATAGGTGAGTACCATCTCTCTCTCTTTCTCTCTCTTTCTTCCTCATCGTAGATTTCTGATTTAAATCTCGCGACGGGCTCCCACGATCCACTTGGATGGCTCATCCATGTCGACCGCGCGCTGATTCCTCGACCCTTAACTGGCAGCGTCGGGTCGAGTCTCGTTCTAGTTACTCGGTCACTTGTTTCGGTTCACTGACAACGGCGACCTTCTGCTTATAACTGTAACGTTGATGCTGCGAAGCATTGAGTTTTGATAATGATGATCAGATGGAAGATGACTATACAGAGAATGAGATTATATCAAATTAATGTGTTTTACAGGCATTTTGAATAATTTTGTTTTTCAACTTATAATTTTGCTTAATTAAAATATAGAATTATTGATAATTATCTCTTTATTATATATTTTAAGAATAAATAGTAACGTAAACTCTTTTGCAAATTAATATACAGTAATTAATTAAACAATTAACCTTTATTGATTATAAATTTTAAATTGATGAATATATTAAAATTTATAATATAAAATCTATTTTTTTTAATATTTAATATTAGAAATTGAAAAGATGTATAAACAAACAACGTGTAAAAACATTTTCATTAACAAAATTAATTTTCTAAAACTAAGACACCTGTAAATAAAACTTATAAATAAAACCTATAAAAATTATTTTAAATTAATAATAGATTTATATAAATAATATAATTAATTTTTATATTTATAATAATATTTATTACTGTTTAATATTATTTTTAATTGTATACATAACGATTTTATGATAAAATATATTTTAGGTTAAACATATTTTAGATTAAATTGTTAGTATTCTATTTATGAGGTCACTTGTTTCACTAGCAATAGCGACCTAAATGTATGACAATGCGACCAATCAATGTTTGTGGGTGAATAGTCACGCACATTTAAGCACGTTATAGCACGAAGAGATCTAAATGTATAGGGACCGTGTATCATTAATATGAATAATTTATACTGATTGTGATACTGACATTGTGTACAATCGATGACGTCTGACGGATAAACATATATGTGTATAATTAATCATAACAGTATATTTGTAGGAACGTAGATACTCATATTTATAGAAATTGTACAGGCGAGAATTATGTACTGAAATATGTAATGTGACTAAAAGTTGTGGTATTTTTTTTACTTGATATTCTTTTTTTTTAAAAACGTCAGTAGTTTTTAATATTACAAAACTTTTTATGATCTAAATTGTGCGAACAACTATAGAAACAATGAATAATGAACGCATAATTAAATTTACAACATGTTTTCAAGCAAAATATAATGTTTTTAAATATACGCTACGACATAATTATACAATGTCGTAAACAATGAGCTCTGTTGCCTGTTGATAATTAGCAAAGTAATGACTATGCCGTTGAGTGCGGAACCCTGTACCTGCGAAAATCAAACTAATCCTTTATCGTGGCTCAGCGACCATCCATCACCGTCTATGACAGACGGTACTTAATCACGCAATGTCGAATAAAAACTCCCTTCGTTCTACATTCTTTTTACCTGTAGCGTTACAAAAATCGTTATTGAAATTACAACAAATAGCAACAAATACACACCTCTGCTTGATCCTTTCACCGCCAATTGATTCCTATTATAGTTTACAGTTTAAAAATACCTAATTATTTATGTTTACATCTAAACTGTGTAACATATTAGGAAAATATTTAAGAATTCTTAATTTTCTTATTTTCTAGTACCTATAAAACTTTGAAAATTGAAGTATTCAGAACGTTCAAAAAATATGATCAAAATAGCTTTATATATTTTTAAAAAATATGATTGAAATAACTTTCATTTCTTTTTTCTCTTTATTAGAAGAAATAAAAGACCAACATGTGAAAATTTGCGTAATATTTTCAAATTGGAAACAATCATGTTTTTACCATATGATTGTACCATAAATACTTAACACTAAAAATGTAGCATGAACATTTTTGAAATTTTTATAAGAATGCGATGAGTCAATCGGTGGCTTCGACTTTTCTTATTGTAATGCACAGTAAGTGCATTTTCTCGGCGATTACCTTGAACGTTTTTATTGACATAGTGGAACAAATTGAAATATTACGAGAAAATTGAAACATGTCATGCGAGATTTTCGAAACTACTATATTTATTTTACACTTTTTACGCATAATGTATACTTAAACGAACATTTTCAATTTAAAAAATGAGCGATGATTTATCGTTTTATCAATTTTATGAAAACGAAAGAAACGATTCTGTAAGGAATTATTTTGATAACCTTGTTCTGATTAAACCTTATTATGTCTGAATTACTATAATTATCAGTATGCAATTTAACGACTTGCAGGGAAATAATGTCTGTAGGATTCTATTTATATTTTTAAAACAGGTTTTGATAGCTTACTTATTATTTATTTTACTTACAAATTGCAATATTTTTAGTTTCACCAAATCCACTTAGATATTTATTCCTTTATAATTCTGCAGATTATTACACTTATAGATAACGCATTAAAATTTTAACGAATGTTCCGAACATTTAAAACATATTAAATGTTTTCCTAATTTATATCAATTTTTTAAAGTTTATTATTATTCAAATTATTTAAATAAGATTTACTTCTTAATTAATTTTATTATGAGAATGTTTTGTATCTGAAAAATATAATAATGCATGTAGAAATATGTATATGTATGTGTGACGTATGATTAAATTTGTTCGTGTGAATAAAATCTTGTCTCTTGTATTACAAATTCTCTCTCTCTCTCTCTCTCTCTCTCTCTCTCTCGTTTCTATTAAGATTATTACATTATTTCTGTTATAGTGAGAAGTATTTCTATAAGATGTTCAGATGAGCTTATTTGACTTGCTAACATCAATTTCTTGAAAATAACCAAAGATATTCCTTGTGCCTTTTCACCATGTAAATCATTCCTTATGGGATTAGTTCAGCTGTCAGAGTTATTTCCTGCAAGTAGACGTTGTTATAATTGTTAACATTTTATTATATCTGTTTGTATAATTGGATCAATTGTAATTGAAAGATTTTTTTATCATTGTTTGGTCATACATTTTTTTAAATATAACAATATTTACAGAAATTAAATAGAATTACAAATTTTTTGATGAACTTATATTGTTGTGTGTGTATCAGTCAGAAAAAGAATTATATTTTTTAGACATGATAAAAAGGGAAAGCTAATAAATTATTACTAATCAGAACGTGTATAATCACGTTCAGATAGTAGAACGAAATTAAATAGGGTGCATATCTTATTTTATTTCCATATGTCGCTCGGTATTATCAGCTATGATTTATGTGTTTATGAAATTTTCATTTAAATTTTTTAAATTGGACTTAAAAAGTTCACCAGGAAAAAGATTAGCAATATTAATTGTATTTTATGTACACGTTAAATTTGCTAATAAATAAAAATCTTGCTAAAATGTTTCGTAGATGTTAAATACCACAGAGAACGAAATTTGCGAATGATGTGTGTCAGGTACACCTGCAGGCTCTGTGTCCTGGTTCATTGAACTCTGTGAAGGCGGTGGAGGAGATAATCGAAGGTACAGAATAAGCAAAAAAAAAGAAGTTTCAAAAGGGTAGAGGGAGGAGCGGAAGCCAAAGTGGACCGTGCCGTTTTACATATTTTAACGGTTCTTCGTGTACCTCCGACCCTCGTGAAATTTGTCTGTCTTTTTTTCATTTTGATCCTTCTTCTCTTCTTCTTTCTATATGACTTAACTACCTTTGAAAACTAAGTAGTGAAGACGATTCTATCTTGCAAGAATATCCAGCGTATTTTATTTATATTTAAATACGTGCTATTCCAAATGGACAAAAATATTTTAAAAAGCAATGGAAATAAGAAGAGCTTACGGAATAGAGATTCTTAGATAGAGAAAAATTAATCTAAAATAAGTGTTTGTAACACGTCCTCGAAACTTTTAAATGCTTTAACTTATATAAATATTTTTTCACATACTATTTTTTAGCATATTTAATATAGATATTCTTGAAATAAATGTCTATTAATAATAATTTATGGTAAAAAATAAAAAACAAATACCAGAATAAAAATAAGATATCGTAAAATATCGTCATAACCATATTATTAACAACATTATTAATAACATATGATTATATGGTTAACAACGAACAATAAAATTTGATAATCACATGAACGAAAGATTAATTTATTGCACTGTTAAATCTATAGTGTCAAATTTAACCTAACGTGAGTCATGTTCCTACTAAATATATCGTTATTTTTTACCAAAACGATAGTTAAATATGACATTATATCGTGTCAATTTGACACTATATAGTGTCAACTTGACACTGTATAGTATCAAATATAACCATTGTATTAGTATAAAATAATGATATGATTGAGTAGGAGCAGTGGCGACTCACGTTAAATTAAATTTGACACTATAGATTTAACAGTGTGCGTTTATGTAAATACATACGCACTAAATATAAAAATTATAATTGTTATTTGTCTATACACAGTTCTTGAAAGCGTTACAATTATTGCGTTCCATTGCTAATTTATTAATAATAATAGCCTTTCATCTTCGCATCGATGAGCACGAAGTGTACTTATTATGCGGTAACAATGAATAATTTCACTATTCTGTTTCGCTCACGAACAGCTCATACAAATATTCCGCAGTTAACCGGACGCATTACATAGCACGAGATGTGCCACGAGAGCACGTTTTCACGTATCACGCGACATGTGGATTCGGATTTCGCTCACGCCGAACAATCTGGCAATAGTATTCGGTTGTCCGCGAAACGGATTAGATATTTTAGTATTTAGTAACAAATGAAAATTTTCGCGAATTTTTAATAAATTGATCTTTTATTATTATCTGATAGTGACAATAAAAATATTTATTTCTTTGAATTTTTTTTATTTATATAACTTATTAAAATAAATTTATTTAAATAATGAAGACTTTTAATTTTTCACAGAACTTGCTGGTAAATGTTAAACTCAAGACAGAAATTACTAGAAATAGAAATTACACTTTTTTAATTATAGTTTTCAGTTTACTGTTATACAAATTTTATGACAAAGAAAAGCTTTCTTTCTGTAATCAAAATCTGGATAAATTTACAGATCTTGGCAGGAATACCAAGTTTCCTCAAAATTTCGATAAGAATAGAAGGGATGACATTATCAAATGCCCCAGCAATATCAATGAAAATGCAAACTGAAAATTTTCCCAAGATGTTAGAGGCGTGAATATAATTTGAAAAAGTGACTAAGTTATCAATGCAAGATCTAGAAGGTCGAAATCCAAATTGGAACTCGGGTAGAATTAAGTATGCTTCGACGAACCTATTTAAATTATTATCTTTATTATTAGATTTATTATAATTTCTTGTTTAATATTCTTTATTATAATTTCTTGTTTAATATTCTTAATATTTTTATATTTTTGAACCGTTTCTAATTCTCTTTGCTACTCTTATATTAGAACAACGTTATGTGCCAATTGGCATCGCTCCTGGAACAAACCATTATGGATAAAAATAGTACGTAATAACTTTTATCACGCCATATAAATATTATGATATTCCTTATCATATTTTTCTCGTAAATTAGATGTCGCCACGACTTTATCGATAAAACGATTACATCAATAAAATAAATTTCTAATGTTAAATGTCTGTAACCTATTTATTTTTAAAATACATACAAATATATAGATATCTCATATTAATACTTTGATTGATTATACTCATTTTTGAATCTACATGAAAATATTATTGCTGAATATTTTTGAAATAATAATTAAAAAGTAATTAGGAACATATATTTATATAGCTTTAAATATAGTTTTCAAGAAACTTAGCGAATATTAGTATACACATTTAAAATACATAAAATGTTATTTTTTCTTTATTCTGTTAGAGCCTAATTAGATCTCTAATCCGAAAATAAATTAATAAATTGTTTACAGTAGCATAATAAAATAAACACTTAACGCTAAAACCTAACATTGATCAGAGTGAAAATTAAACGAAAGTGAACATATAGGCGCACAATAGCGCATTACGGCGTAGTCGGCAAAGTTGCTTAGCAGCGAAAAGAAGATACCAAGCGGAGACAGAGAAACAGAGCAAAAAGGGTCGAAGAGGGGACCTTTGCTTATATGGTCACTGATTACGGAGGGACTAAGGGCCCCAGGGCCTTGGGACCGCTATTCTTAGAAGACGCGTCGTTCGTTCTCTCTTCCTCGCCTCATCCTTCTGCCCGACTCCTTCGCGACTACCCTGCAGCGAACTCCTAATTACCTTTGCTTGCATATCTCCCTTCTTTCTCCTTCTCGCTCGTTTTTCTCATCACTCCTCTCCTTGGACCATCTCTCTCCTGCATGCATTATGCATTTGGAGATCGCGTGATAGCTGTGGATTATGCGGTCGCACCGGGCCTTCTTTTCCGCGAAAGAAATCGCGAATTGGATTTGCCACACTGCGAAACTTGGACAGGCGAAAAGGCATAGTTACGTAAAAATTGCAAATGAGATAAGGCCACGTTAAACGGAGAGTAACTTTATATTTATATGATATCATTATTAAACATGTTTTATATTTAAAAATTAAAGTCTTTTAGACAAAAAATTAAGTTTTAGTAAATAAAAAATGAAGTACCGAAATGTCATTAATTTAAACTTCAAATTAAAATGTGGTTGACAGTAATAATGATTTAAAAAAAAAAAATAGTAAAGAAATAGAAATAACAGTAAAGAATGATCGATTTTATGTATTATGCTGTTATTTTATATGTTATGCTACTAGATAATTATTTTCAATCAAGCTGTACGAAGATATAAGAAAAATAGAAAGAGAGAAGAAAGAGAACAATGATAAATTGCGCTTATCAAAGAGTGCAGACAGAAACTGCTTTTCGTGTATATATACGTAATACATCGTACCGACATGTCCAACTTTTCTCGCCTTGTTTCCGGTAAAATTCCCATTGCATATATTCACGGCATATTGGTATTTCCACGCTTTTGCACGATAACACGTTTCACTAGACTCATTCCTTTTTTCGTCATCCTGATAAACTATCCGCGAACTTCCCCAGCAAAATCAGAAAATTCCGGTATGGCCGGCAAATTGAATTTGCCCTGCCGCACAGTCGATGAAATGGAATTCAATTATTAGTAATACGGTGAATCGGTGGGTCATGATTGGAAGAGGATCGCGCATTGAATGGCGAGAGAAAAAACGAATGTGGAGACGAAACGGAGATTTCGACTGGAAATTCAACGTGCAAAATTGATGGGACTTAATTACGAACCTGTGTTTAATTGCGCATCGGTGCTTGCTCGATTGTTTATCTGATAAATAAATCCATTTGTAGGAGAACAGAGTCAAATGGTGAGCTTCTCAATGGGATCATGAATTCTCCTGAGAGATCAGAGGATATATATTGAATATAGTGCGGCATATTGAATATCTGTACATTCGCCTTGTTCAATATTGATTGCATACTATAGTTGTCGAGATAATGTCGTAAAAGCGCTATTTGAGAAAATTTTACGAAGATTAATAAATTACTTATGTGATATATTATTTAGTTATTAGATTAAATTTATCAAAAATGATGAGATAGATCAAATATTATAAAATAATTTTGAAGATCGATAAAATAGCAAAATAACTCTCTCTAAGTGTATTTTATAGATTTCATATACTATAGCATTTACGTTTGAATAAAACACCTATATTTGGAAATATTTTTGCGGAAAAAAATTAATTCTTATTAAAGTTAAATTAATTGTAATAATTACTTATCCACTTATAGCGTAACTGTATTAATTCCTCCAGATAAATTTCTTCACTTACTGGGCTGGCATTGACACCACACTTCATTAATCCTGTTGTTTTCGTTTGGTGATACTAAAATTAATCTCAGACGATGAAGGTTCTCGGTCTCGCCCGAGGGCCAGATTCAATAATCTGACGGCAATTTATATCAAATTAGCGGTGCACGCGTGCGCGGTCGCATGGAATTGCCATGATGGAAGAGGCTACGGTAAACGCGGCCTCTTCATTACGGTCGCTTTAAGTACCGTGATCTGAAAGTGGGGTCCTTTGGAAAAAGGGGCCCCAGCAACAATGTGCGCTCACGACGACGGCACGTGTGTGTGTGTGTGTGTGTGTGTGTGTGTGTATGTACATACGGTATTATTATAATAAATGGTTGCGTGTTGCTTGTCTGTTGCAGAAAAATTGCTGAACAGCGAGGGCCGCGAGCTGCGACGGGCTCTCTTCTCCCTCAAGCAGATTTTTCAGGTGGGTTTACAATTCGTGATGAGATAGAATGAGTGGGGTCGCGCGAGAAGACCGGAAAGAATGTATAGTGAACGTATAGTGGGACCGGGGTAGATGAAGAGAGTAGTATGCGACGAAGCTGAGCGGATATTTTTGCACGAAGTTACTTGCATGACGAGTAAATATTTGCATTCGAGCGAATGCAGCTTCTCTACTGTTTATAGGACACAGTTTTTTTCCTTTCTCTAAGAAACATGACTTGATAAAAAATTTAACTAAATATTTGATGATTTAAATTCATAAAAAATATCTATTTTTATATAAATTATTTGCAAGTAATAAGTATATATATGTATTTAATTAAATTCTATAGCATAATTGTTACTTGCTTTATTAATAATTTAAACATATTTTCTTAAAAAAACATAAAATAACGGAACCATTAAATTAAAATATCTGAAATTTGTTGAATTTTTTATTCTCCATTTGGTAACAAAATTATTGAAAATAATTCTGTTGTTAAATATTTAACATTCAAGAGTATAAATATACTGTGTGTCTGAAATCTTATTATTAAATAATAATTTTCGGTGACTACTTTTTTTTTTATCTCTGTAACGGTGTTCCACTTTTACGAATTTGATTTTCTTTGATCAATATTATTCTTTTTGTCGAGAAAAATTCCGACACGAAAACTGACATGTAGATTAAAACACGTTTCATAATTTTTTTGAAAAATATGTTTAAATTTATTATGTTTAACTTATTTATCAAATAAATAATACACACTTTTTCTTTCTCCCTCTCTTTTTCTTTTTAAGCTAGAGTATCTGAGTATTTCATCTGTCACCTACAATTTTATAAAGACTGAAATTATTGGAAATACTAAATTTTAATTTTGTCCTTGCAGTGATAGACGACGGAGAATTAATTAAATCTTGCTCACCCATTTAACGATTTTATTCCCTTTTCCGATTATTGCCGCTGCGGGTTTCAACCTTCATCACGACCATGTATCCCTCGTATTCTTGCATATCCTTCGTTGTTAATCCGTACAGCTAATCGAATTTACCGTCGCGCAAATCAATTGCACGTCCGCCCCGTATCTAATCTAGTCGCAGGACGTCGTGTAACCGCATATATTTCATAATTGCTTCCACGAGGCACCGGATACCCAGTGCGAACCTCCACTTTGCTTCCCCTTTCGGCTAGTTTCAAGTTTCCCTCGCGGCACATAAATTGAGGAAACGCATCGGTACGAGTTCAATTTCGCTTCTTAATCCGTCGAGCTAATCGAGTCTATGTCGCGCCTAAGTCCCATGTAAACTTCTACCGCCTCACGGTTGGCGGAATGAGAAGTGGAAGAGGGGAAACACGAGAGAATACCAAAGTATACGCGAATCCCAGAGAAGTCCGACTAGATCGCGAACGGCCATGGCGCCGGCGTCGCGGCGCCTTGGAAACGAGGGGGTTTAATCAAACTTCGTAGATTTTCCATTATGCCCGCGACTTTGCGCCTGAAGCGGCATAACTAATTCCATTTAACCCTGGTTGCACGGTAGACCGGGTTGGGCTTAGGTGGTAATGTAGAGGTAAATCACGCCACCGTGACGTCGCTGTCAGGATCGGATATCAGCAGCTATATTAGTTCTTCCGTGTTTTCTCTGTAGTTTCTTCCAATTTGTTGGAAAGCTTACGCGTGTATCAGTAAAAATATGAAGATACTATGAGAATAAATTGAAATTTTTTTGAAAAACAATATAAAAATTGTTTTGACGTTCGTAAATAAATATTTAATGAAATTTTCTATTATATCATACAACGAAATTCGATAAGTAATTATAATAGTTGAAAGCTAAGGACTATTGATTATTTTTTCTGATCGATTTTACATTTATTCTGATGTAAAGTATAGTTACGCTCGTGACATAATGTTTAACATATAGTGCAATATGTTTTCAAGTTTTAAATTAAAAGCCTTTTGTTCTGATATAATTAAAAAGCATGTCTAGCTATAATAAATGTATCCAGGTCTTTAGGGAAACACTTCTGCAAATTGTTCCTATTTTAAAACATCAACACAGATTAATGTTGTTGTCTCATTCAGTTATAATTAAATTAACTTATCGCGAATTTCAATTTTCCAGGAGGACAAGGATCTGGTACACGAATTTGTGCAAAATGACGGACTCGCCTGCCTGATCAAAGTCAGCAGCGAAGCCGACCAGAATTACCAAAATTACATTTTACGAGGTAAATACTTTATTCATTTATTTTAAAATTGAAGATATTTACGTCCCTAATGCCTCCAACTTAATCAAATTTAAACCTTTTCTCACTTAAACGATTCCTTTACTATTATCAATAAAATATTTATTTCCTTAAAACGAATTGAGATTTTTCTATAAACATAATAGCAAAATGATATTTTCAAAAACAGTGATTTATTGATAAAAAATATTTTAACTTATAAAATTGAAAACTTTGTAGATTAAATGTATAAACAATTTTTTTTTAAATATGTGTAATAATACAGTCTTTTCTAGAGATAAAAGAATTATTAAGAAATACGTATACGACTTACATCCACTTTTTTCTAAAAATTATTATTCAAGAATTGTAACAACCAGGCCCGGTCTCTTCTACTTCGTTTATTAATTACGATCTCTGCGAAAATCCGCAATTAATTTTTATAACTTGTAATAAATAGCTATTGTTGTGGCGTACCGCTAACGAGATTCAATAATAATATCAGATGATGATTATTCTATAACTTCCGCAATAACAGCAGTCGGTGCATCCAATTAGACGGTAGGAAAGTCGTATCGTAAGCGAACCCGCAAATTGAGTTAAGAGAATGATGCGACCTTGCGTGGTACATGCACACCGAGATTTCATGGTAGACACTACGCTCTCTATGGACGCTCTCTATGCGCTCCCACTTTGCCGCAAGTAACGATAAGATAATACCAACGTAATGCAGCTAATGTTTAACGAGCTAGACATCAACGTCCTCATCTTTGCTTTTCCAAGAAGTACATGACGACGATGATATTACCGTCTAAAAGTACAGCGAGAGAGAAGGTGACACCAAACGCGCCGCGTTTACGAAAGCGTCAACACGTGGAAGCCACGGTGGCTTGCAGCTACTCGTCAAACCGCGATGTGTTGCGAATTATGAATGGCGCTCTTTGATCGTGCCTTTCGAGTGCGGTATCTTGGAATCGTGTTCAAGTACTTTGTAAACCACCAGCTTATACGCGAGTGAGCACGCTAATTTCATGTTGTAATCTTATAATGCATTCGTTGCGTTTGTCTCTGTATTAGAGGGAACTGAAACGAATCGAGAACTTATAATGAAGAAGTAGAAAATACGAAAAGCAAAGATTTTAGTATTGCAAATGCAATTTTGAGAAGTACGTTTTAAAATAAAATTAATGGATTTTTATTCTATTCGTATTTAGACATAATTTAACAATTTTTCCTTATTATATTATTTATTATTTCATGTATGTATCAAACAAGTTCCTATTATTAAATTCTTACACAATTTTCTTGTCATATTACAGTTTATAGAAGTTGCTTAATATATTTATAGTTCAATTTTTTATCTATTTTTATTATAAGTAGTTATATAGTCTCATCGTGAATAGATACTTTATAGTTTATTATTATATTACATAAATGATACTAAGCGCGTATGTTGCATTTTGCAATCCATTTATTTAAATATTACAAAATCCTGTTGCAACATATTAGTATCTGATACTTTGATTACGCGTCGCGTGATTTATACATCTATAGGCTTTATATATCTAGGCTTCTAATTAGATTTCGCATCATAACTTACGACCTATATAATAGTAATGGTTATCGTGGGACCGATGGAACGTGCTTTATGAACATTGTCATGGCTGGCATACGTCGTTGATACAAAGCATACGATCGCGCGAATACTAAAACTTTGATTATAGAGAATCAATATACGTAAACAGTCATTTTCATCGAGATAAAAGCCTTGTTTATTTAATTGCACTGTACAGCTTCCAAATTTGCATAGGTAGTTATATATTGATTGTATAACACATATCTGTACAGGAGTAAAAAAAAAATATTGCTAACTTTCTGTTATTTAATATTATTATTCAATATTATTTCTTTGATATTTTATGTGTAACATGATTTTAACGAAAATTAAACATTGTTAACATTCTCACAAACAAGATCGATTTAGTCGAATTAGATTTTGCACAGTTTGTTGCGATAGTAACTTATATATTTGTTTTAACAAACACTCACTAATTGGCTTTATGATTTAATGTAACCATCTGTTATTTGATTTGCGTATCTCATAAGTGACCTGGATTTTCGAGCGCATTTTATTTTCAAGCTACGCGCAGCCCATATATAACTATTATTCGACAAAGAGCAGGAAGGGGATTCCAATTTTTTTTTTCATTGTTTCTAATTAATCTTGGATGAAGCGGTTTCTACCTACGGTACATGAATGCTTTCTTCTATACTTTTTCGCACATTTTACATGCCAAGCGCGCCGTAATTTATTTAGAGCACAGTGTGGAGCGGCTTTCGTTGGAATATGCGTGTTTTAAGCGATAACGTGTAAGCGCAAGCATATTTTTGACCATAATATCATGTAGGATAAAATCTGAGTAAACCTATGAATGCGATCGGTGGAATTTGCCTGTTAAATTTCAGTCATGCCCATCTATGTTCGTAGCCCGAGTACGAGCCGGAAATCAGTTTCGTAAACAACGAAGCGCATGGTGTAAAAAATAGGTGACGTCGTTTTGGATTGAGCCGAGATTGATAGGTTTCGCATCGGTTGTAACGACGGTTACTTTTATTTTTCGTTGCATATCTACATCGGCAGAGGTCGTCGTTCTGATGTTTCCGTTTATATTTTTGCTTTCCGATAAAAATAGCGGGATGCCACAGTGCGAATTAAGAGGCAAGATTAATGGTTGTATATACAGTATACTACAGTATCAAGAGAGATTCAAAACCCTAGACAAAAAAAATGTCGATTAATGCGGAAAATATTCAACGTTATTGGAGAGAGTATTTCAAAAATATTTTATGACATCATAAAGAGAAGCAGTTATCTGTTTGCATAAAACTTTCTACCTCCGTTAACTTTCTAAAGTGGATGTTGAAACCATATTTAAAAAAATATTTAACTTTTTACTTCCCTTTTTCGATGTCTCGAGAATCTTTTGAGCCTTAATATTATTTGAGCTGCCATAAAATCCACTAGAGAGGTACATTTACGAACAACGGCTAAAGGCTCTTTATACGCGATTGTCTGGAACAATTTCGCCCTCCGTGTTTAATCTCGCAACTCGTTTGCATTCATGCAGCACTCGGCCAGGTGATGCTGTATGTCGACGGTATGAACGGGGTGATGGAACATGGGCAGACAGTGGAATGGTTATATACGTTAATTGCTAGTCGTTTTCGGCTGGTGGTGAAGACGGCGTTGAAACTACTGCTCGTGTTTGTGGAATACGTGGAAACAAACAGTCTGCTATTGGTCAGAGCTGTAAGGGCGGTCGATCAAGCGAGGGGCGTGGTACCGTGGATTAATGTAATGAAACTCCTGAAGGATTATGATGCCGCCGACACAGAGTTGCTTATATACGCAACAACTTTGATCAACAAGTGTTTGAACGGTATCCCCGATCAAGACACATACTACGATCAAGTGGACTGCCTGGAGGAACAGGGTATGGAGGGCGTTATCCAGAGGTACATGTCAAAACAGGGCACAGATCTCGACCTGCTCAGGCAGTTTCAGATTTACGAAGCGGTACTGCATCACGAAGATGGAGACAGAGGATCGCCTATACGCCAATTGGATGACAATATAAGGTAGGTAGTATCACAATTTGACGTTGAGCGTAATATGATTTAATAAGATTCACATGGATCTTTGGAACATTTGGATAAAAATATCATTGAATAAAAACATTGGATAAAAATGTGTAATTTAGAAGAAGAATGAAAAATCTTACGCAAATATTTAGAGAAACATTTTGTTTCATCTTATAACAATTTTATAATAATTCGGTTGAGATATTTCTAATCCGATATTTCTGTTTGATTGCGTAGAAAAACTTTACGAAACCGAAAGTCTCTAGTGGATTCTCACGAAAGGCGAAAGTCTCGGAGGCATTCTACGGGTAATTCACCCCTGTCAATGTCTCTGAATGCACGGCTGAGTCCACGATTAAATCATTCTCTGGGTGTGAGTACGTTGAATAACACCTTGAATTCAAACTTACCAGATGATGACGACGAATCAAGTAGTTCTCAAAGTTCTCAGGGTCATCTAGGTGAAGTTCAACTCAATGGTAGTTACAAAGAGAATAAAGGTAATCATTTCTTTTTTTTTGATAATAGAGTTTTTAATTTAAGTCAATTATGTGTTTATATCAGAAAGAAAATTTTTTTAATAACTTTTATACACAATGGAAAGAAAGTTTAACTCATATTTTGAGAAAATTTGCTTATATTTAATCTGTAATAAATTTAATTTGAACACTTAAAACGTGTTAAGATATACGTAAGTGATTCGCTTTAATGAAGAAAACATAATTTTATGTGTTTTAGTGGACGTTGGTGTTACACCAGCGCTGAGACGACGAAGAGAACGCGCGGAGAGACAGAGGAGTTTCATTAGAGAGCAACAAGAGGCTACTGCAAACCTGAGAGCTTCGCTTGGTCACACCGATGATCAGGAAAGTGAGTACGATCACTTAAAATGCTCTGTATGGATATCTTTTTATCATTCTCGAATCTAATTTATTTTATTCCCAATTAAATTTCCGATTATCACTGATACGATTCACATTTTTACAAGAGAAAAATCTTATTATCATTTAATTTTATAATTTCTATGTTTATTTAGAAATAAATAGATTAAAAATATATATGTATGTGTTAGAAAATGAATATACATACAATTTTTTACAAAATATATCCATTTTGTGAAGTGGTGGATTTAATAAAATAAATTTTTTAATTTCTTATCCATAATACACATTTTTTTTTAAACAATATGCATCTCGGGAAGATATTCCATCGTTACAATAAATATTTTTAACCTTTTGCTATTAAAGGTCAGTTCGCAACAAACAGTCTACGATATACAAACGGTATCTCTTATGAGAGGAACGCTGATTCTCCTTCGAACAAGTTGTCCAGAACGAACAGCAGAAAAGACTTGACGCCCTTGATGAATGCCGCGAACAAGCTCGACTCGGAGGAGAAGAAACCATGGTACGGCAAAAGTCCCAACGAAGGTGTCGAGTACAACGAGAGTAATCACATCGACGAAGACGAGGATCGTCGAGTGGTTCTACAGCTTAAGAGGGAAGGAACTGTCAAGGATCTCACTCAGAAGTTGGCAGCACAGAATCTTATACCTAGCAGCCCTGTGGAGGAGAAAGTTTCCAGGTAATTTCGGGAAAGGCGCTGCCTTTATTTCAAATGCATGCTACTCAATTGATTTATCCTCTGCATTTTGCTTCTATATTTGTATTTGCGAAATTTCAGAATACAAACTCTTTATTAAACCGACATTATAAAAACATAAAAAAATCATAAAGTTTATTAAATTCTGAAATCATTTATATCAGTGTTTTTAAATATTGAAAGTTGTACTGTCTTTGGCAACTAAAAATACTAACTGTAAAATATTGTCGATTTTCACTTAATTTCAACTAATGTTGTTTACAAAATAATAACTTATAACAGCTTGCTCCTTGTAACTACTTGTCCCGGTCAATTTAATTTGCATTTTACTAAAGTTTTCTTTATTAAACATGAAATGTATTGTGTTTGAACGCAAAAGTCAGTTTAACTTTTATTACAGATAAAAGTGGAAAGTAGCATATAAGGATAGCGCGAAATATTGACAACAGCAATGATACTAGAAAGCTGGAAAAGTCGTATGAACTTTGTACCTTAGTCCGAAATTCTACCGTTAATTTTACACGGGATATTGCCAGAGTACAACGTTTCATATAAAAGTTATTTCTTCATCGGATTCGAAACTTTCTACAGATCGATAAGAAACCTTATCTTTTGTATTTTGTCTTCAGATAATCTTTAAATATATAAACTAGACGGTTGATAAATAATATTACTATAAAATGAACCTTATTTGAAATATTATAATGTGATATTAATAAATTAAATTATTAGAGAGACAAAATTTATTGGAATGCTTTCGAAATGGTCAAATTATATAATAATACACATACTATACATACATTTAATTCAAATAATTCTAATTTTTGATATTATAAATGTATAAAAGTTTATATTGTCAGAATTGTCAGAATTAAATGTAGAGATTATTTCCGTGTTTAACAAAATTTAAAGCTACAGTAATTACATTGGGTTTAATTCTTGTATATAACAATTAATTAACATAATTAAAGTAATTCAGAAATTCAATATTGGATAACAATATGACAATTAAATCGATAACCACATGTGTCACTAATTGTATGTTTTATTTGATTTTAATAGCTTATCTAAATGTAGCTCGTTTCCCATTTCCTATCTTTTATTCTATAAAATATACTATTGTTAGCATTTACTATACAAAATATATAATTTAGGCCATTTTTACGCATGTCTGTAGGATAGGAGATATGAGTGGGTTGATCTCGAAGGCAAAAGAAGGTCTAGCGAAGTCGAAGTCAAAAGCGGACGTACTAAAATCGCCAACCAGCGATAATTTGCCGAAACTGCAGGAAACGAAGAAATCAGAGAATGAACTGCACTGGGAAGAACTGGTAAAGAAACTGAAGAGACCATTGGCACTTTGCGACTTGGATTTCACTGATCTAAATTCCGAAGATGAGATCGATGTGTTGGGATCTGCTAATGTGACGAATGGAGTGCCACCGCCGCCACCACCGATGGCACCTTCAAATGGAGACACTTCGGCACCTCCGCCACCGCCGTTGGGAGCGAGATTGCCACCGCCTCTTCCTCAGGGTCCCCCGCTGCCATTCGGTGTCAGCTTGAAGATGTCGAGGCCATCGCCACTAACTAACGAGACCAGTAACACGCCAAAGAGTCCGCCATCGTTGCTCGCGAAGAAGAGCAAGAAGACGGTGAAGCTGTTCTGGAAGGAAGTACGAGACGATCCCAACATTCTTGCACGGCTCGACAAACACAAGATGATCTGGGACGAACTAACGCCTGTGGCCGTCGACACACAAAAGCTCGAGCATCTTTTCGAGAGTCGCGCTAAGGATCTCATCACCAAGGTGAGTGGTCTCCATGTACGACTTCTTTTACGCAAATCGTTGTTGTTTTCGTTATACGAATGCAACGAACCGCGAGTTTCACCGTTTCGAACGGACGGTTGAAGGGAAACACATAAAGGGAACAACATAAAGAACAATGCTCGTTTAAACGAGGTCTACCCTCGACTGCCTTTCGCAGTGTACATTGTAATTTTATACGATATTCTTTAAAATTTTTAACGAGGTAAAAATGGAAGTCATATTTCGCTATGTTATTTATTTAATTTTATTTGATGTGTCTTCTTTAAGCGAGCTTTATTTATCGTTGAGATAGTAATGACTATTATGGCTAGTTATACTAACCATAACAAAACATTTGAAGAAATTTCTGAAGGAAGATTAATAATGACATTTAATAACGCATAAGAAAATTATAATTATAGTTTCCAATTTACTTTTATGTAGTAATTCGTACTGATTTGCTTGTAATAACAGCCGTTTTGTGATTCGTTAATTTTGTAGCAATATGAAAAGCGAATATCCGATTTTGATTTATGCAAGATTGTTCCAAAGACCTTTTCACAGAACTAAAATTCCAACATACACAAAGCATATACCCATAATCTTGTGTACATAAACATCTCTGTTGCATCTAGCAGGTTAGGGTTGCAACGCGTTTAAAGGGGATAACATCTTTCTATCTCGTCTGCTTAATTACTTTTAGAAATGCTCAAAATTATTAGGAAGAAATTATCATTTATTTATAACTAATAATGTAATTGTAAATTGACATGGTTACAAAGTGGCAAAAAGAAAAATTTTTATTTTCATTTTTCATTGGCTGTAGCGTAAAAATAATTACATTCAATATTCCAATTACAATGACTTCATATATATAAGAAAGAAAATATTATATTATATTACTTTTTTATATTTTTTATATTACTTTTAATATTATAATTAATATTAAATATTATTTTACTTCTAAGTTACCAGAGATAAAGTATAGATATTATACTCTAGTATGTTAATCGATTTTTACAGATATGTGACCAAACTAATCAAATCTCGCCAATTTATTTGATCAATTTATTTGATCTGGGTTATAATAATTGTGTCATCAGATAATTTAGTAATTATTTTTTCATTAGGTGAAACTGATAGTATATTAATTAATTATTTTCTGATACTGCTTCTTCCTACATTAATCTTTTTGAATTTATCCTATTACTTTCCAAATATTAAATAGCTTTTGGAGTGTTTTAAAAATAAATAAAATATAAAATATTATAACGTTAAAATATATGTATATATTGATTTTCATAAAGTTTCTTTTCTGTCTTTCTCTTATGTTTAAATTTATATAATTTTAAAAATAAATAAAATTTAATCTTATTATATAAGTTTTTAGTTTATGACTTTAACTTCTTTTGAATACATTGGATTTTTTAAAACTATAATAAACGTATATGATCATTCATAACAATTTTACATCTGATGAGGAAATATAAAGTAGAGAGAAAATATTGTAAAATATAAGAGAAAATATATATGGTGACGTGTACTACTAATTCTTCTATCATATATAAAATATAGTCACCATATGTATAATTTACAACGCGATTTTACACATAAACACATGCGTACACACATATGCGCGCGCGCGCCAGAAAACCACAAAAATTTTTCATTGGCATTGTACCGAAGCATTGCAATCGAGGAGAGAATATCGTCGTTAATTATCGCAGTAATTACACGGCGCGGGTATATTGGTTTCCTCTCACCTGTGTATTTCACGTCTATGAGCAACTAAATCGCAGCAAGAGATATTGCACGGTAGAGAGACTGCGACTGGGTTGCGCGTATTTTTCGAGTGTTACTGAAAGCTGCCGCATTATTTTTGCGTTCCGGTTGTTTCAAACACAGGCTCTTTCTCGCCCTTTGAACCCGCTTAGCACACCGATAATTACAGTCGACCTACGCTCACATAAAAAACAACGAAAAAAGTAGCCGCGTGCCAAGAAAATTATAAATCTTTTGGCGACGAAACAAGAGTGTAAACGGAGCAAAATTATAAAAGGGAAACTCGCCTTCGACGCAAATAATGACGTTATGCACAGTTGCACTTGTTCCGTAATATTAGGACCATGAATGCTGCATGTTCCAAATTAATAGAAGAAGAGTCAGGTAAATGCTATACGAACTGTGCCATATAAGGACAATTGTACAGAAAACTTGATGAGATCAATTTAAGTAACGAGATGATGCAATAGTAACATAACAATAAAGACTTTAATTTGTTATATTTACTTATAGAAGAGACGAAATTAATTTTTTCGTGATAATGGAAAATAAATATTTTTTAATATCACAAATTAAGAATTTATAACATGTTATTACAAATTTGATTGAATTTGTTATGTTTTATCTCAAAGATTTTTAATGTATTTTTGCTATTTATTTCTGATTACTGATTTTTTTTCTTGAAAATAAGGATTTTTCGTAAATTTTAAAAATTAATTTTTTTACATTATATGTATTGAAAGATATATAACTTATTGTTAATACAAAGAGATATTGAGATTATTAGATATCAATATGCATTAAAATTAAATCGATGTCTTGATTTAATCCTTAGCTTTCTTTTACAAATAATAAGCAATGTTGATAAAATCATTTTGTGATTCTTATTTATATACATATAACTTTATACGAATTTTATTATGATTTTATGTCTTTAATATTGTTTTTAATAGATGAACAAGTTAAATGATATTTATATTTTTATATTTTTTTTTCTATACAAAAATAGTGTTATCAAAATTGGTAAAATTTTACTAACGTCTATAAATCAATATAATAGTATATGATAAATATATTATTTCTTCTATTTTATTACATAGAAGGATGTGAAATGAGAAACTTACTTTAAAGTAAAGTTTAATTCTTATTAACTTTCACTTAGTTTTATGTTCGGCCACATATGTATGTGTGGTTATCGAATAAGCGCTGTATAACGTCGGCTAATTTAATAACGTAGTTAACCGTATCGCGTGAGGATAACGGTTATGATAACGATCATGAATAACGATTATGACGACGGTCGGATAGTAGTAAGGGTGGTGATAGTGATGGTGGTTTACTGAAATACGACTAATTATCTTCTTGTATTCTTGGTAATGTTGTTGGTGCTCGCACGAAAAAATATGAACGAAATGGCATGCTGGAATTTTACAGGAGGTGAGTCTTAATTCTTTAACTTTCGGCGTTGTTTTATTGATCGTTAATATAAATGCATGCGTTCTAAGTGCATTTACGAATTACTGGTCCAATCGATTTCATGCTGTGACAATGATGCATTAATTAATAAAGATTTTGCTGAAGGTATTTCTTTCTTCAAGGAGACTGCTTCACATACTTTGTAAATCGCTGTTGTTATCTCTCTTGGGTTGTTATTTTACTGTACTGTACTGGAATTTTTTTTACTGTAATTGATCAATTTATTAAGGATCATTAATAAAAGATGTTTCTTCTAATGCTGTTATGACAATACCTATAGTAATTATGTTAATAATTACAATCTTTGCTTTCATTTCATTATTATATCGACTTTTATAGCAGATAAACTATTTTGTCAGTGACTAAAACGATTTACGAATTTTACGTTGTCTGTACAGTTTTAAAAATCTAATATAAAAGTTTTTATCCTGTATTTTTATTCTTAGGCGATTTTTATTAAACTGATTTATAATTTAAAAAATTAAATAAATGTGCAACTGGCACTAAAATGACAAATTCTAAATCTTTAGTGTCTATTTCGCTTAATATAAATTTATGTGTTTTCAAAATTTTATAAAACGTTTTATTTTTCGATATACTTTTACTTGAGATATCATTTTAAATTACCTGCTGTTATACAATATAAGTGTTATACAATACGTTATAACACTTTAGTATTATAATACATTTTTTAATTTTATTTGTATTTATTCTACCTAAACCATAAACATTTGCATAATTTATTTGCATTGGACATTATGCACATATATTTTTTGTAATAAATGAGTGTAAATTCAAAAATGATAATTTTATGATTTTATCGTGTAATATTTATTATCTATTGGAAATTGTTTGGAGAAATGTCATCTATAGATGATTTCGACGAACATCCAACATCGTCCGTACACGTATATATCTTCACTTGCAATCAAAAGAGAATGGCTGTATTTATCCCATTCTAGTGGCGTATTTTCAATATATTCTGATGCTACGTTTTCACGAATCTGTGTAACGTTCGAATGTTTGGTAGTTTTTTATGTGTTTTCATGTGTTTTTATAGCGGAGTATTTTTGTTGCACGGTAAAAGATACTAATCGTACCGCAATAACTCCAAGTGCTACAGAGTAATAACGAAGAGAATATCGAAGTCATATCACGCGCAAATATTTTGATATAATCGAAAATTTTTTGTTTGTTGTTGGCAAAACAGAAACAGCAGGAGATGAACAAGAACAAGGAAATTATTGTGCTAAATCATAAAAGATCAAACGCCATCAACATTGGTATGACGAAACTACCGCCACCAAGATCCATCAAGACTGCGATTTTGAAAATGGATGCTACAATCATGAATAGAGAGGGTATCGAGGTGAGAATATGGCTGTTTTATTTTTTATCTTCAATTTCTATTTCTTATTCGCATTCAAGAACTGCTAAAAAGATTAGAAAACATTTCTTATATTTTTACATACAATGCAGATTTTGAAAAGAAAAATGCGAGCATATACAATGCTTGACAGTTTTGATATTTTTTTAGTAAATTATTCAAAAATTTTTACAGCAAGATTAATTGTCATTATTTTTCACTCTTCATTCATTTAAACTGTGTAGTGTGTCTACTTAAATTATATTTTTAATCGATTTTTCAACTTTTATTCGTATAAATCATGTCGATCCTGCTTAATTTACTGGCTAATAAAAAGCTTTGAAAATTTTTAACTTTCTGTTGACGACCAATCCTGAAGTTTAGTTGAAATGCACTTATGTATTCTAGTTTCGAGTTTATTCTAATTTCTCTAATTTTAGATTGATTTCTTTTTTTCGTTTGTTTCCCTCCTTTTTCCAAAATCCCCTCAACAGAAACTCCTAACGATGCTACCTACTAAGGAAGAAAAGTCCAGGATACAAGAGGCACAGGCTGCCAATCCTGACCTTCCCTTAGGATCGGCTGAACAGTTCCTTCTAACTTTGACCTCCATCTCGGAATTGCCAGCAAGGCTAAAGCTGTGGGCATTCAAGCTAGACTTCGAAAATTCCGAGAAAGTAAGTCTTAATATTATATTATGTATTTTTAAGTAAATACACAATTTAACAGTAAACTTTTTAAATTTCTGTTTTTTAATTATTGATTTTGCATATAAAACTATTTGCAATAGGAGAATTTAATGTTCTAGTGTCGATAATTTGTAATCAAGCGTTTTTTTAAGTAAAATATTATTGTTTAGTAAAAGATTATTTAATTAAAAAAAAATTTTAATTTTATCGTATCTCAATTAACAATATTACATGATAAAAAATGTCAATAGAGTCAATAAATGTCAAAAACTTATCAATAGAGGTAATATCAATAGAGGCGTATAAAAAAAAACTTCTACTTTTTTTTAGAAGACAATATAAATTTTTTTTTTATTTTTTTCTAAGTAAAACTTGATTTTAATCTCTTGCCTTACGCCTTAATTTATGATCACGCGTGTCACTGTTAGAAACATGATCGCTTGCGCATCAAACAGTATCTAATAATACACTTAATCTTCCTTTATTGATCTTCTGGAAGCCAACGGTATATCATGATAAAACTTTAAAATAATAATTCTAAAATATTAATTTTTTACAAGACATCAAATGTTCAACAATAATTTCTAATATTATTTCAAACAATATATATAATATATAATATAATTTCATTAATTTTTTATGAATATATGTTTTTACATAAATTTTATAATATAATAAAACGGAAAGACAAGATACATAATAGAAAAAAAATTTTTAAGAATTTGTAAATATAATTTTGTTAACTATTCGGAATAATTTTTTTTATGCATCCTACTTGTAATTTCAATTTGAAATTATATATTCGTTAGATACTACTAATACATAATAATAATTAAATCGACTTTTTATATTTATTTTCTTCTTTTCCCTTTGATTTCGAGCGCGGATTTCATCGCGATTATCAAGGTACGATGGAAAGGAATGTTAGCAATGTAAGGGCGGAAGTCGGTAGAAGAGCATTCTTGACGTATTTCTTCGACGACAAAATGGCAAATTCCGATATTGTACTCGAAGAGAGGTCATTCGACGACCCGACTTTCTTGGTATCGTTCGATTGTAACTGAAGCGTGAAATAGTTCGTACCGGGAAATGAGAATCATTTTGTATCCACTTGTGTATGCTTGCAATATGCGATATGTTATTTCTCAGTCAAATCGATTAATCCAAAAATACGTGCAAAGGAATATCGATAAAGTTAATAAAAACGTTTTTAGATCCGAATTATTACATAGATAATAAAAAACAAAAAATTTCAGTTTTAAATTAAAATGTTGAGTTTAATACTGAAATAATTATACTTTAGCTATTCTGTTTTTACGCTTTTAATTATATAAATTCTAGAGACCTAATCAGAGTCAAGACATGAAACAGTCACTTTGATTGGTCCGCCATATTTTGACAATTACTGGGAGAGAGAAAGAGATAAGGAAAAGATCGAATAGAAAAAACAAGTGAAAAAAATAATAAATGTATGTCTTTTTCTCTCGCGCGTGTTTTGATAAAACTAGAAATCCTGTATACAAAATGTTGTTCATGTCTACAGACTGTGATTAGAGTGTCTCTAATAGATTTAATATGTATGAATTTTGAAAAAAAATTTCGAAACATACGCATTACAAAAATATTTTTATAAAAATAGTCCTTATTCTGGTTTTCGCTTTTAGTTAAAATATAATAATCCATGAATTAACAGCTTCTTTCAATTCCCATGCAACTATGAGATACATGTTTATGAAAATCAATGATACAAATTATGAGTTTCGCGAGGAAATAAAAATGGGGCGGTTTTTGTAATTTCTAGGAAATCGCAGATCCTTTAATGGATTTGAAACAGGGTATGGAGACTTTGCGAGTGAATAAAACGTTCCGTGGGATTCTAAGCACACTCCTTTCGATCGGGATATTCCTCAACGGAAATGAGGTAGGTATTGAATGCTAGCCAAATGATATATCCACTGTCTCGAGATCGTAACAGCTCAAAATCTGACGATATCGATAATTTAGTTCTAACTACTGGTTGGGTAGGATATCTTTCATGCTACTTGGCTGACTGCCACATTTTTTTGAAAACAATCTCGGTTTAATACGGAGTTTTGCTGCAATCACGATCCACTATTTATCCTCGGAATAGCGCCAGAATTTTCAGAAGTTTTGACGGAATATCCACTATATTAAAAAAGTTCTAATGTATTTTTCAGCAGCTAGATTTGCATCAGATTAATTTTCGAGCGACGCAATTATTTCATAGAAATTTCTCTATCATGTAATATAAAAAATCTATAAATAAATCTAAATATTTACGAGCGTCGAAATGAGACGCGCTATTTTTCGGACGTCGTGTCACGACGGAAGGTATCATCCTTTTTCAGGTGAAGGGCTTTCAACTAGAATACCTCGTCAAAGTACCTGAAGTGAAGGATACGGTTCACAAACACTCGTTGCTTCATCATCTTTGCCACATGGTGATGGAGAAGTTTCCGGATTCTACGGACCTCTATTCCGAGGTAAGAGTCAGTCAGTACGATCAAAACTAGAGAGAACTTTGCTTTGTCGTGATATCACGGTTGTACTATTATATATTTATGAAATGGAGACTAAGTTCATGTTTCAGAGAGCTCGTGCTCTCTGAAATTTTTTTGTTACGCGATTTTATTTTATTCCATCATACAATCGTTTATCTCCTCCATATTTTGTTGAATCTTTGGATATATACTATCAAAGATTAATGTGATGTAGTTTAAAAAAAATAGATTGAAAGAGATATAAATCGGATTAAAATAGAAACAATATGTTGCAATTATAATTTTCATATAATTTACGCGAATACAACATTTTAACTACATATAAATACACGACTCATTTGATTTAAAATAATTTTTATAGAAGGAATAATATAAACATAAAATAAAGAAAGAAGCAAATACTTTTATGTGTCTCTCTCAGATAAATATTAAACTATGTTAATCTTTTCGTATATTTCTTGAAGACAATTGGAAGAGTTTTCTCGGCAACGCCAACGCGGTTCTGCTTTCAGATTGGTGCGGTAACGAGAGCCTCGAAAATCGATTTCGACGAGCTGGCGGCGAACATCGCGAAACTCGAGAGCGAGTGCAAAGCATCTTGGGACCATCTCAAGCTCATTGCGAAGCATGATGGTTCTACGATGATGAAGGTCAAGTGAGTATAATTCCTGCCGAGTTTCTTAGCCCCCGAACCAATTTCCGAGATTCTCTCTCTCTCTCTCTCTCTCTTTCTCTCGTTCTGCTTTCCTGTGAGTCTTTCTAAGTATTTGTGTTTAAGAAGTCCCAAGTGGCTTCGATGAATTCGGGATAGAGTTTTTTTTTCAGCGAAACTGGCTGCTATCCAAGTGGAGCTTCCATTAATTACCGAACGGACATTTTCTCCTTCCACAAGTCTTTCTCTTCGTTCCTTCTGCCTGTAATCATGCGCGCTGCACTTGCATTCTCCCAATGGACTTTCATTTTTTATTTTTTGTGACATTTTTAATTAGTTTTTTATTCTTTAAACTTTTTATGCTTTTCATGTATTTTAAAGAAATTAAATAAGTCAAAGATATTTTTTAGCAACAGAAATAACACGTATGCATACGATACATACATTTTTTTAGTCAATATGTTGTTCTTTATTGAATTATTTTATTAGTAAAAAATTGTTAAAAGTTTTATTTTATTGATATATTTTACAGTTATTTGCTGAAACATATATTTTTCTAAAAAGTACATTGTTTTATCTTAATAACACAGGATGTCTGATTTCCTTGCTGATTGTGCCGAAAGGATAATCGTCTTAGGCATCGTTCACAGACGTATCATAAACCGTTTCCGCAAATTCATTCTGTGGTTGGGTATACCACTGCACAGAATACAAGACACAAAACCAAACGAGTTTTGTAGAATTGTGTCCGAATTTGCTCTGGAGTACAGAACCACTAGGGAACGAGTGATACAGCAGCTCGAGAAGAAAGCCAATCATCGAGAACGCAATAAGACCAGAGGGAAGATGATAACAGAGGTAAGTCATTTTTGTTTTATCTTTCGTTAAAAACCATCATAGCAAATTTCATCGACTAAAATATATTTATACTGAGTTGGATTAGCTTACATAATATTAATCGTAAATATTAATTAGCATAGAGTATTATAATAAATTTTTTCTCTTTGATTTCTATATTTATATGCTATTTTGTAATATTGATATAAGAGTATAAAGTTATTTCTTAAATATTATTTATATTTGAATAAAACTATTTAATTTTTTTTTTACAATATATTGTTTTCATAAAATTTTTCACGTATCTTTTGCAAGTTTAAAATCTTGATGTTCTTATTGCAGGTCGGCAAGTTTCGTACAAAAGAGGATCGAGCGGACGCGGAACTCAGACAACTACTTGGCAGTGACATTTCAGATGTCGAGAGTATCCACGGCACTTTACCATGGAGAAGACAGAAGAAAGACGGTAAGTTTTGTCAGACGTTTTTCGTAAATCTTTTTCTACATGTTCCTGGATGTTCTTTCTTCCTGTTTTAGCGCATTATATCCTTGTATTGGTTAATTTTATCTTTATCATAATAAATTTTGTCTAATAAATATGCAGTAAACAATATCTTATATCTTATTTTATACAATTCACAGCGATAAGCAATTCATATTGAAAACAAATTGTTTGAAATGCACAGCACAATGCTGTAAAATTTTATGTTTTAATTTAAATTAAGTAAGAGTAATAAGTTGAGTGTTCTCATTTTCGCGATTGGACGAAGATATTATCGCAGTGAACGATCTCAATGTAATATGATTGCGGTTTTCTAGCCTCTATTTAGACTCGCTTTTAACTTGAGCGAAAATAACGCACTTTAAAAGACGACGGCCATGTCGGCTGTTCCACCGCGGATAAGAACAAAGTGTGAGAATTTCTCTTCATCTCCGTAATGTTCCAGCTCGGTGGTGGCGGCGACGCGCGCGAGATAAATGTCGCCCTTAAGCAGCGGCTCTTGCAGGCAAGATTTAAGGATAGCACCGGGTCATTTGACGACATTACCGGAAAACGAGAAGTAAATGCGTCGCCGTCTTTGTGATTATACGATGCGTTCGCGGAGGGACACACAGTTTTTTTCTCCTTCCTCCGTATTTAGTCAAATGTGAAACTTACCGACTTGCATAAGTCACCGTTCATTATCTTTATTGCTTTTGCACAAGGATACTCGTACAAGTTTCTCTTTTATGCGACTCGGAATTTTCTTGCCCAAAATTCGCGATGATGTTCGAGATTGCGTATATCCTCTATACCGTTAAGCCGTAAATGTAACTTGACAATAAGTAGCATTATCATTCAGTTGCGAGAAGCGTCAAGATAGGATGCCTTCGACGGTGTTGCTTCATAAATTCGGTATTCATGAGAGAAAAATTTCAACTTGAGTAGAATTTTGTTTTACTCACTCTTTATTGCGCTTTACGCGCGCTACATAAGATGATAACTTTGCCTCAAGAGGGCAGAATGTAAAAGTAGTTAACTTCCAGAGGGAATATTCGAAGCGACGTGGATATTATTCGAGTAAAAGTATCGCGTAAATAACAGCCTCTAAGAAATTTATTCCTTGAATTTGTTCGAAAGAATTCTATTGGACTAGATGTTATAAGTTTTATCGTAACATTGTTCACAAACTTGTTATCTTTCGTACTTTCTTCTTGCCAATTTTCTTTCTCTACGAAAGTCTCTACACTGAAAAAAATTTTGTTCATTTTTGGTCCAATGAATGATCGTTAATCAATGTCCGACTTAATGTCCGACTTAATATAGTTAATTCATTGATACAATAATTGGATTCATTTATACAACTATACATTCATTCTTGCAATGAATTCTAGTAATAGTTTTATAATCTAAATCATTATGAGAATTCATTGGACTAATTTTCATTATTTTTTCATAATTCAATGAATATTTTATTGTATTTACGTACAGTTTTGATTCAGTATACGAACCTGCTATGGTATTTACTATTTATATGAATAAATATTCAATGAATATAATTAGTTAATCAGTATTTCTTTCACGTTAAGAAGAATATTTTAAATTGGTTTACTTTTGAAGTTAATTGCTGGAATTTAGATCTTCATAATCATTTGTAATAAATATACAATAACCAGAAAATTAAATTTTGTTATTTCTTAAAGGTCAACTACGTTACAATCGATTACAGACTAAGATGATACAAAATTAATATGTTTATAAATAAATATACTTTTACTTTGAAATTATTGGAAACTCTACTTATTCTGTGATTCGGTATCTTCTTTAATTGAATATTTATAATATTATGATTCTATATTCCATTGCGATAAATACCAACACTAAAATAATTTCATATTAACTATACACTCAAAAAACTATTCATTTAAAATAATGAAGATTCATTGTTATTATACGTACACAATCAAAATCTATGGCAAAGCTACCTTGAAAAAAGATGCTGCAAAAACGACTGACACATCTTGGATCTTGTAAGACTGATATTACATTGTAACTGCGGATCACCTCTTTCTTGGGAAAACGTGGAATTTTTATTCCTGCTTTCGCGCAGACGGGGGTACGTGGAGGATTGGGCTAACTCAAGGAACCAAGTGGTTGGTGCCCATCCGGCTCGTAAACTCAACCACCCACGTGCATTACCATGGCTGCGGCCATCATAACTTTTCTCTCCTTTATTCCCGTGTATGCCACGACATAAAGTATCTAAACGTCCCGTCTAAGTCGTGCTGGCGTTTTCAGCTGGATATGATAGCCCTCCGGTTCCACAGCTGGAAAAGTCTTGCAAGTTGTGCAACAAGGATCGTGGACGATGCGCGATGATTTATTTTAACAATTTGCTGAGTAATATAACAATACTACGAACATATTAGATACAATTAATCGTTATTCGCGGTTGTTGGCTTTATTCTTGTTTCTTTCATATTATTTCTATTATATAGTATTTTAGTTTTACTCTAAATAAAATTTGATAACTGATTATTGCGAAAAGTCTTGAACTTTTCTGAATAAAAATGTTACAAATATTTATACTTTTTAAAAAAATTAACTTTTCTATATTTACAAAAAAAAAAAACGCATTGAACATTATTATAAATTGTAAGAAAGTTTTTAAAATATTATTAATGGTAATAAAACTTTTATTTTTCACAATTTTTTTATAAGAACAGAGAGTAATAATATTTAAAAAAATAAATACTAAACATAAAACGAGAATATTTCATTTACATTGTTTTCAGTTATTAAATGCAACTTCATGATTGTATATTGTTTTGATCAAGTATATTTTAACAATCAATGTTAAGTAAAGTATATAATTTCTTGACTTATTTTTAATTAGAAATTTATTGTATTATTTCTCACTTGCTTATACAACGAATACGTTAAGTAGAACATGTCATCAGAGCCAGCAGATCAGATCAACGAACAGGAAGCCATTTGAAAGTGTTTAACATTCCTTATGGTAGAGCAACTACGAAAATGAATTGTCTAGATTGATCAGCGGTCGTCAAAGAACGCGTAATAGGCGAGACTTAAGGATCTCTTCCTTCCTCTTTTCGTTCCATTCATGAAAATTCTATTACCATCCTTTCATTCTCTTCCTACTTCGTCTCTTTTTCCACAATCTTTGTCGTGTACAGAACTGCATCTATGATAGTTTTTCTGGGACGAGTTTGAAAGAAGCTCTGGAAGAAATTCTGTGCATTTGACAGTTTCGAAGTTTCTGCCCTGCAGACCTAGATGTGGTGATTGTAAGAAATGAAATAGTGAGACAATGTGGAAGAAGAATCTTGTAGATGCGCGACATTCTACAAAGGATTGTCTTTACTTAAACGCATTTTATTTTTGAACATATTTCCCATGAATAAATAGAAAAATGTATCTTATATAAGTGAAGAAATTGTGTGCTTAGTTGAACATAATAATTGAAATCAGCATTAACAATTTGCATTGTCATCTCTTTTCTCTAAATAAATTTTTAAAAATAAATACAAAATTTAATTTATAAATAAAAAAATTTTGTTCTTATGACAAATAATTGGATTATGAATTTAAATTTGTTAATGATTTATATATCTAATCTCTGTTAATATATGCAACGTATATTTATAAATAATACAGAGCTACGCAGTATGTGCTACTTTGAAAATAAAGCTATTACAAAAAAATTTGGAATGTATTCATAGAGCAGCAGAAGATATTATTATGTTTTAGGGCGTATAATTTCACTGGGTCCGGTACTCAGGGACGAAAGCACCAACGGTAACTTAGCTGATGGAGTTGACGAATTATTGGAATCTTTGGTGAAAACCGCAACAAAAACGCCAGCTACTAGAACTACGCCACGCGAACGCAAGAGGACCAGACACGCCGATCGTAAGTCTTGTAAGTGTGATCCCAGCACCATGCACCCAGATTCTCCTTTCCTATCATTATCGATCGATCTCTGGTCGAGGAATTAATTATCAATCGATAATTTATTAGATTCCTAAATTATAGCATACTTATATCTGTGTATGGACACAACTTAAATATTTCATCGGGAAAACCGCCAATTTCTTAAATGCATTACATTACGTAATTAATTAAAGTGCGACAATTAAAAACTTTAAAAGAAGCAAATCATTAATCAAAATACTTATAATATATTATTGGTAAATGTAATCCACAATAATAAAAACTCTCGATAATTGAACATAACAATAAAAAAAGAAAACAAAGAGGCGGTGAAAGTCAGTAATCAGTGTGTAGTTGGAATAATAAAAAAACTCTTTAATAAATTAAATAATATAATAAATCGGACGTTTCGGCTCAATTTTGAGCCATCCTCATTGGACAATTAATAATAAATTTGAACTGGAGTAACTGCATCAAATTCGTACCTTTCCTTTGCATTATTTTTTGTGCATTATGTGCATTATCGTGGATGAGAAAAATTATATTAGTAAAAATGATGCATGTACCTGTTCCCATATGTTAATTGCATTAGTTTTTATTTTATGGTAGCTCAGTATTATTTTAATATCATATAAAATAGAGAGAAGAGACGAAAAAAGAGAGAAAAAGAAAAAGAGAGATAAAAAGAAGGGAAAAGAGTACATTTTGCAACATATAATGGAACAAAAATTTGTAAGTAGCGTGAAAATTTTCCATTAAAGTTTTATTGGTAACAGAAGGTACTGGGCGTTAACCGCAGAATTTTCCAATAACTTCCAACGCCACGAGAGCCTTGAATTATTCGGTGTAAAGTATACATTATTGATAACCGTTGGTCCACAGATAGAGCTATGAGGCTACCAGAGTCGATCGATAAACGAGAAGTTTGGAGATGTCGGCGTCGACGCCCTAGATCGAACATGCGATCGTACGCGTGTCGTCGATTCGGTCTATCTTATACTTTCCATGCACTTTATTAGCACCGCAGCCTATCTTTACTTTAATGCCCCTGCTCATTTATGCTATCTCAACTGCTGTTATTACAACTGATCGAAATTTAATAATAATGTCTTGTACTATACGATTTTATTCTTTAGGATAAGATGATTCAAACGGTGTTTTCAAAGTAGATGTAGAAATATGTAACATAAAATTATAAATAATAATAACGCTTAATTATGACAATAACATAATAAAACATAATAGAGAAAGAATATGTTTGTATTTAATATATATATATATATATATCTATGGGGAGAGAGTTGCCGAATGCGTACTGGTCGCCTAAATCGTACCTTATCAATATTTTATATAATTAGTTAATATAGGCAATATTTAGTAACAATAATATAAAATATGAGAAATGAGTAATATAGACAAAAATATAATAGCCTACATCTTGTTTTATGGATGTTAATGGCGTTTTAAAAAATCAGATACATCTGATATTAATTTTTAATCAACTTATGTAGCGATCATCCAATTTTATTATAAATTTTTGTGTTTTTATAAAAGAAGATTTATTGTAAGTAAAGATTAAATCGATATTTTTACAAAATTCGTCAAGTTTCCTAAATCGTACTATCAAAAGATAAGGCTGATAACTGACACACACAATAATAAAACTAATAATTAATTGATATCAATAATAAATATCAAATGCAAAAATAAATAAATTTATTTTTGTTGTCATTTGTTTTTTTTTTATTATTGTTATTTAATAATTATAAAATATTTGATTTTCTTCAATAAATTATTAAAATTAGATATTAATTAATTATTAGGTATTAGTTAATGATTTCTTTTATTAATCTTATATTTTTAATTGTTTTCATTCATTAATTCAATACTTTTAAAGGAAATACGATAAAAAATACCTATAGGTACGATTTAGGCGACCGATTGCCTAAATCGTACCTTTTGCAGCATGTTACAAAAAGATTTATAACAAATTAATTTGTTATTGGTGGAAAGTTAAACATGTAATAATAAGCGTCCAAAACCTCAAACTACAATTTCTAATGTTCATTTGCATATAAAACAGTGCCAAATAGAAAATATAATAAAAAATAGATTAAGTAGTACGCATTCGGCAACTTTCCCTTATATGAAGTTAATATAAATGTTTTATTATCTAAAATTTCAAGTATGTATTTTTTAATAATTTTGAAATTTTTTCTCTTTTAAAATCTTGCATATTTCAAAGGTATATTTTTTATTTAGAATCGGGTTAAAGGATACAATAATAGGAAACACGCTTAAATGTTTTAAATAATATTTCGATAATTTAATTAAAGTCTTGTTAAAATAAAGTTTATTTGGAAAACTTAAAAAGTGAAATTTGTTATCTATTCAGAAATTAATAAGCTAAAATTCTTTAATTTTCAATATTATAGTCATTTGGTCAAAGTTTTGCGGAGGAAAAATAAAATTATCGTTGATAAAAATCGTATAAAGAAAATGTTTTTGAAGTTTTTGAAGTTAGTATAAATCTCACGAAACGTTGTACAAAGGAGAAACACAGACAATGCGCAAAATTTCGATGTAATTCTTATCAAACATAAAAGAAATTTTACCGGAAAATGCAGTGATTAGAGCAGAATGTACACGCGAACATGATTGGAAATCTGGTAACGGAAAATGCAGCAGTCTAATATCGAGATAACGTAATGCAGCATAATGCGAGTAGATTGTGGCGTTTTTCCGTTTCTATTTTGCCAGGCCAGTAATCGATCTCAGCAGAAGTTGAAATAATGCTTCACTGGACCGATAGCGCGTAAATCTCGCCATAATCCGATCACCGAGTGGCTTGGCCAATCTTTCCTCTCGCGATACTTATGATAAGCCGGTTCAGTACGCGTCCGAGCGCGTCGAGCACGTAGCCCTGTTCCACTATTATTCAGAGGAAAACAGTGTATTTAGCTTTAAGCGATTTATACTTCGCCAATTATAAATATAAATAATTTTCTGTACTAGAATTTCGAATTTTTTATGTTTATATAATACTATTATTCATTATATGATTTAAGAATGTATTACACGTATTTTTTAACAAAATTTAAAAATTATGAAGAATTACAGATTTGTCCGTATTACATTTAAAAGTAATATAAAAAGTTTGACGATGATTTAGAATCTGAATTAAAAATGATTTCAATCATAAACAAACATGTTTTAAAAAAATAATTAACGTAAATGAGAAAATTTACATCATAATTGTATTCTTAAATATGAATATTGAACTATTTCATATGTAACATTTATTTGTACCGAAAGAATAAATTTCCAATTCTAGTCACTTTTTGCAGAGACTATACATTTTTTTAGTTTTAAATTTATAATAAGTATTTAGAAATTCTTTATTGTTGTTAAAATTTTGAACAAATCTTAATAGATCAGTAAGATTAGTAAGATACTGTATTTTGTGAAATGTCACGTAATATAGTAAATTCAAAAGTGCGTATGTAAAATTTAAGATAAATTAAAAAGTAATTGTAAAGAGATATCACTTTTCGCTACGATAGCATGTTCGACCTAACTTTCCAAAGATATTTCTCGAGGGTGGAGAGTCTACCCTGCTTTTCCTCTTCGTCTTGTCCCGATCCATTCTTCAACCATCGTTCAATTATCCTTCTCTGATCAAATCACGGAATCTACGGTGATGGTCTTATTTTACCTTCATGTTCAATGATCTACGGAGTAGATCAAAGATTATTTCTAACACAACTTGGGCACGCTCCAATAACTTTACTTTAGTTAAGATTGCGGCAAAGCTTGCTAACGGGGTGGCCTAGCGTTCTTGCGTCTCTTTTCTTTCTGTCTGACAGTGAAGCGATCGCGCACCCGAGAGAACAACACCACGCCGGAAGGGTATCAACCCTGATGGGCCAGGGTTTACGTGATTTCTGCGATTAAGGTTCGGTGCTTTTTAAGTTTCCTCTTTACGGTCCTTTTCTTTTATCCAGCATGACGTGATTGTTTGCATGATTTATTTTGACTCAAACATATTGTTTTCTAATATTTATTAATATATTAATTTTGTGGCATGTTTATTAGTACAATTATTAATTACTAACACGAATTGATGGTACTTAACGAACTATTTCACTTTTTTTAAATTTACTCAATTTATTCAATTTACAAATTTAATTTGAAGCGCATATACATATATTATATCTTATTTAAAATTACATCCTAATGAAAATCGTATAAAACAATTAAAATTACATAAAATTTAATTTTGTTTGATGTCAGAATGCTGTTATGTTAATACTAATTTACATTTTTCGGTTTACAATCATTAAAAAAAAATTGTATCATTGTTAGCTCGATATTAAAGTTTGGTATTAATATAAATAAATTTTAATATAAATAGTATTATCTCAACTTTTATAAAAATATATTCTGATCACGCGCCTCTCGGATTAAACTATAAAAATAGGAATTATAACAAAATATATGTATATAAAAACGAATTACTGCCTTTAACAAACACTTGACTATTTAAATTTGTACATCTTTATCAAATCAATAGTCATATAATAGTTATTTCTTCTATGAAAAGCATTAAGGAATATATATTATGACTTCTCGTGGAAAGCCAAAAGCTATTCGGAAACTTTGAGACTTTGCTTTTGGATAACCGAATACGTTAGGATCGTGCGCTTTGAACTTCATGCAATTTTAGTCTCCTATAATATGCATAAGTGAAGCTAAATTGCGCTCGTTTGAGAGGGGTGGAGGGGTAAGTAAAAAGTTTACTTTCTAAATGGAGTTGGGATGTCTAAGTTTCTCGACTTAATAGAGACTTACGCAACGCGAGTGTCCCTCTTGCATACGAACTTCCGACGCTTGGTATAAACCCACACGCTTTTCATCTATTAGCATTTAAAGCTCGATACGAGTGTTCTTACTACTCGTATACATATATGAATGCATGCATATTTATAAATATAATCCTTAGCAATTTTGATTATATCTCACCAAAATGTAAACTTCTATGGAAATCGGCCGTGTGCAATCTTAATCTACTTTATATTTGTAGTCATGCTCACATTTATCGTATCCCGATATAACATGTATAAATTAATAATTATTTTTAATTCTATTTTTTTTATCTTAAAAATGTAGCTCTGGATTATTTGTGATTAGAGTTGTTATACAATTTCTTCTATAGAAAAGGATATAAATTAGATTAATTTTTGAAAGCTTTTAGAGGATGTTGATATAAAAGGCATCTAATGTATAGATATAAAATATACATATAAAATCATTTAAAAAAGTGGTACTTCTTGAGTACATTGGTGAAAAGTGCTTAATATAAAATTGTCGAAAACAATAGGTAAATGAATTCATTTTTAGTGTTCTGCAGATGTTGAATCTTTTCGGCATTACGTGAAGAATATTGGTGTTCGACTTGCAAGAAGTGTCTGCTTCCGCTAGGATATCCGTATCGATTTACCCAACGTTCGTAGTTTCGAAATTATTGATGCGAAATGCTTGGATTGGCGTCGAATGATTTATCAATGTGCGATCGTTTGAGCATAAACTATGATTTTGATTACCATGCTAACATCACATCGAACATAAACCGCCAATCTGTGGCTCGATATTTCGTACATTATGGCAATTGCTTAACGTGTCGTCGAAATGAGCATTAAAATTGAAAGACATAAACTACAATTACCATTTTCAGAATTACGTTTGAAATAATTTTTTAATAAAAAATATTTACTTAAATTACTTAAATTACTTATATTTCATCAAAATATATACAATATTCTCTTTTTTAATCCAAACATGTTTTGTATTGATTAAAATTTAACATTTAATATTTAATGTTTATTTAATTAAATTTATATTATTTAACGAAATTTAATATACTATTAAACTAAATTCAACATTTGCTAATTCAGAAAATATTAAAATTATAATAATTTCCTTATAAAGTTGAAAATTCAAAAATACCACGCAATATTGAAATACTGTAAAAAAATTAATACGTGCGTGGTATTCATTTGCAATTAAAAAACAATATAATATTAAATACATTCGTAATGTATATTTTTATACAATCTCATTCTAATTTAATATATCATTTTCAATGACTAATTGTCATGACAATCGAGCACCGGCAATCTATTACGTATACAAAGTAATAATAATATATAATATTATATATTAAACCATAATCACATTTGCTCATACAATGGAAACTCGCTGTCATTATAAATTCGCTCAAAAGCTGGAAAAGATAGATAAAGCTGTGAGAGATCTGGTCGCAGGGAAATCGGTTTACATTGCATTAACAACGCGTTAACAGCACGACGCGTAGGTTGCTTGCATTCATGTACGTACCATCCGTGCGCCACGTGTAACAGCAAATAATCAGCCCGCAGACTTCATGTTTGTAAAGTCGCCAGAGCACGAGCGATTTAACTGAACAACATTAAATTGAAACGCTTCGCGACACGAAACTCTATCGATTCGCAACGACGAACAATAGGAAAAAAGGAGACAGAAAATTATTACCTATTTACATATGGTCGTTTATATGAAAAAATTAAAATTTAAGACAGCAGATTAATAGCTCGAATGTAATACGATAGGAGGCAAAAATGTTGCATTTATGAATATTTTAGTAATTTACGCAGAGATTGCTGTTTACAACGCTGAAAAATATTTCATATGTGAATTTTCATGGTGACATGTTTACTATTTACAACCTACACAGTCTTGCAAAGAATTAATAATTCATAAGTATTCCTATTAAAATTCTTATAAGAGTATTTATTTCAGTTACTCTAATTTCTAATTATAACACAAACAGATATAAATATTTAAACTTAAAGTGTTATTACTATTTGTCGTAAGAAAAAGGATTATACAAGATTGACTCTTTCGCCCATTTACCCTCTGTGCCTTTGTAAATACAAATGCGTTAGTTACGAGGATAACGAGAAGGATCAAAGGAATAACGGGCAATTATCGAAGAAAGAAAATATACGTGTAATGTTGGTAGTTTGTGATCGAGAGTCCTTTGTTACGCGATATTAGATGAAAGAAACTATAGTATTATCGATATCGAGGGTCCTCGGCGATGGTATTATCTCCGAGTAGGTACTTTACATCACGTTTATTGTGGTCGTTCGTGTTATCGATTCCACGTTTGCAAACCGTAATGAAACCATAATTACCGGACAATGCGCTAATTTGTCATTGACTTTAATATGCAGGGTTAATTGTAGTGAGTATCGAATTCGAAATAGTTAAAATTATTGGTCTCTTTCGTATGTTGTAATCTCTTTCGTTCACTTTTCTATTTGTATTAATTAATTTTACAATATTTCAGAAAATAAAATTGAATAAAAAATTGTAATAATAAATCAATTACTATAATAAAAATCTTAAATTAAATTAAGAGGACGGATCTACTTTTTTCATGATATGACATTTGTAAAAATAATATAGAAGCTTAAATTTTACAAATTAAAGAAAAGTAAAAAAGGGAGTATTAAATTTTGTTTAAAATTATTTACAAAAAATAAGCAAAATATTACTTTCCTACTTTTCTATCAACTTCTATGTAATTTTAAAAAACAGTTTAAAAATTTATATTTCTTTATTTATATTATTATTTATATTTTCTTTTTATTTTAAAAAATTTATATTTCTCTCTCTTCTGTCAAAAGAAAGTTTTGTATTGCATATCATATCGCATTTTTTTACCTTGGTAAAAATTTTCAATAAATATATTTATTTAATTTTTACTTTTCAATTTATAAAATCGAAATTGTACAAATATTACAATCTTCACGCATACTGCTACGTATTTGTCTCAGTATCATTTTGGAGGAGAAATTTCAAATGGATTGCAGTAATTTCCTATATCCACCAACAACCGTTGGCTTTCGTAGTTGTATTCCGAACAGTTTGTTTGCTATTGGACATATCGGCAAACCATCACGTCGACTAATCTACACACAAAGCAGCAAATTAATTCTCGGTTAATTATTTACGTGATCGAAATAGTGCGACATGTGTAACAGAATTCCGATATACACTTGTGTATATTGATACTGTTATTAATATCTCACCTGATTATGCTGGTATTTTAATCCATGCATAAAACAATAACTAACAATAACTTATTTTAATTATTGTGAATTTTCCTTTAATCTGTGTAAATTGAAAACTTGATCAGCAAGCTGAACGAAATTTAGCAACGAATGTCCTTTGTGCAACAATCGCTGTAATTACTGACGGCAAATTAATCGAAGTTTAGAAGTCTCAACGCGCGAGCCTAAAGATTATGTATGAAGTTCTGACTGATGTGCTTGTAGCTTATTAATTAAACGTCGTTGAACTTAATGCGATTTTATCAGAGACTAATGAAAGAGAACTATTAGTATAGAACTGATGAAAGGACTAATGAAAGAGAACTATTAATATAGGAAACATTTCAACATCTCATAGGTGATGGATTAACATAAAAGTGATTACATCCAAATTTTATCGCCATTACCTGGTCGTTTCTTCTTCATTTTCACAGCATGTTTCTTGGAATGCCTCAATTGTATAAATTATAATTTTCTCACTTGTGCTATGTTTTATGTATGTACTATTCGAAATAATACATATTTCACATTGGGAATAATGCGCTTTAAGAAAATTTATCTTTCTGTGTGTTTTGTTTTCAAGTTATATTAAATTTACAAATCTGTGGACGATATCACAGATACTCTACACTAGAAGTGCAACATAAATGTATTACATATCTTTTTCTCGTCTTTGTTAATTTTTTAATTGAAAAAAGCTTTCAGTAACTATTTTAAAAGATTTCGAGCAAAAAGCTTACATTAACATACAATAATCTCAAATACTTTTGAATGCTCCTAAATTTTTATTTTTATTTTGGAAAAACTCAGGAAATACTTTAAAATTATTCTATGTTTTAAAAATTAATAAAACATTTTTATTATGTAAAAAAGTATTATAAAAGATAATTTGTATATTATTACGTAAAAGGAAAGTGAAAAAAATGTAAGTCAATGTGACTCATTTAAAAAGTATTATGTCATATTTGCTTACGACAAAATAAAGAATATTATTGGCGCAAACCACTAGTTGTGCTTCTCTTTCAGTGCGTAGAACGTTAAAGAACGGTCTCTCGGAAGAGGAGAAGAAGCACATCGCCGCCTACATCAAGGGCTATTGACTGTGATAATACTCAAAGGCCACGACATGCTTTCACGAAACGAGACGAAGAAAGAACTGGAAGTTAATACTGCGAAGGGGCGGAACAGTGGAAGCTCGGTGAAAACATTGCGACCTCTCCGTCGTAGATCTTCGACTATAGGATTCTGTTTTCCCCTATTATCAGGACGCTCCGAGATCGGACTGCATCGACGATCGACTCTGCGACACTCTCTGACTCGTTGACGTTCGAGTTCGATATTCGCGTGAAGCCCCATGTGCACTTCGTGTGTGCACCTGTCGTTCGATTTGCTAAGGTAGGATAATAAGTATGAGCAAAAAAAAACAGGAAAAAGATACTATAGTTTTGTTGCGAATTAAACAAGTATTAATCGGTGATTTAGGCTTAAGCCAATGATTGAGAACAGGTGTTTCTCTTAACACGTCGTTCGCGCACGAGAAACAATATCTCGAATGCGTAGGAATTATTATTTAGGAATTATTATTTAGGAATTTCCTTATAGAGAGATTTTTGTTATGTAAGTCCTTCTGTAAACATTTTTTTGTTTTACAAAATTTTCCTTATTTTGTATAGAAATTTCTGAAAGTATAAAGTTGTTTACGTTTCCTTTTGCCTCTTTGAAAGTTATTACGCGTGTTGTGCGTATATTATATACATTTTACGTATGTATCGTATTCGGTACTTCTCGGAAGATTCACTCGAATCGCGGACGACAGGGTCGACTTGACAATCATATAACAGCACGTGCCTCGACGAATTTTTATAATCGATCGATTTTTAAGAGCGACTATTCCGAGTAATCGATGCTTTTGTTCGCATCGATCCATTTACAACGAAGAAACAGCCATTTTGCATACGAAGTAAATATATTCTAGATTTTAGAACGATTCCTGTCGAATAGCAAACACATACCGAACGACATAAATCTGCCTAGCAGCTTAATTATTTTAATCATCATTTTATTATTGCGTTTCGTAGAAATGCATAATCACATTCATTGTAACTTTCTGTGGAAATGATTCTTTAAATAAAAGAAGAAGCAATTATAAAAATAGATACGAATATGTAATTCCCCTTCTTCCTTCAAAATATTTCTTTTTTTCAGAGAAAGGCAACTTGTTTTAAGATTTAATACTTTCTGGATTTTTCAACCTTGATTTTTTTATAATATAAAAGGTAAGTTTTATATTAAATATAATATAAACGATCAAATATAACGCGCGAAAATCGAATAATTATTAAATAATTATAAATTGTAAACTAATCTTTAAAAACGTATTTCAGTTCTCTCAAATTCTAGAAACTTTGTTTTCTTTTCAGTTCTTGTTTGCAAAAAATAAATAAAATAATAGTTTTTTTTCAGTGCAATAAATCTTTTACTTTTATAATTCTGAACACTTTAGATAATAACACTTCAAATAATAATAAAAAATAATAAGAATGGTTAATATTGTTAATATGTCCGAAAACATATTTATTCTAAAAAAAATTAAGCAAAATGAAACGAAAAGTCATTTGAGAAATGTTACGCGTTATATACGAAAATTAATTGTGGCAATTATACGTGTAGAAATATTTGATTGCAAATCTATAAGATTTCTATAATGAAATCTATAATGTATATATGTTTCATCGCATTTATAACTTGCGAATAAATTTTCAGACAGGGATGCAGAAATTGAAAGAGGTAGTTATATAACAAATTGTGCTCGAGACACACGATTTATTATTAACCATCATCCAACTTTAACAACATACAATATAATGTAGTAATAAAAACGTATCAGTTAAAATGTAATAATGCGACGATAGGGGGATGCTCGCGTAAGAGCGACCATATTCATCTCCACTACGTATCCTCGGGATATTTCCTCTTCCTCTTTTTCTTCATCATCCTCTTCTTGTCTTCTACGTGAATATCGCGCGCGCGCGACTCGAGCAAGGGATCGTTATGACTGGGACAAGTTGGTGGAAGCTTTGAGAGTAGGACAGAATGCATGTGATTTTTCAGCACCATACGTCGATGCTTTTTAGTTATGCTAACATTTATAATATTTTTATATAATATATATAGCGCGAAACATACACAGCCTCACTTCACGCCACTACAGTGCAATCATTCGAGCAGACATTCGTATATTTTTTTTGTTTATATCGTATTAAAATGTACAATGAAGTCGTTCCACCGGAATGTTTCTTTAGGAATATCCGTGAAATTTTCATGGATCTCTGTAAAAGTCCGCAGATTTTTAAAACGATTGAAAATAACAAAGGAAAAAACACAATATTTATATTGATTGTTTAAAGATTATAGATTTTATATATACTTTCACGATTTAACAAGCAACGAAAAATTCGTTCCATCAGAAATTTTATTTGGCCAAAAAATCATAATTCTACGCAATATAAATTATCTATAAAAATTAAATAACTACAGAAATAATTGTTTGTGTATTGGTATAAAGATTTTCAAAACGAAATAGTATGATAAAATAAACAATATTGAGCGGTAAAAATTGTAGATCTTCCTAGTAAGATGTGCTAGGATAAGAAAGGTTCAGGAAATTACACCGGAAATTAATTAATATTTCCTCTGCAGATTCTCGATTAATCTTGTGCGTATAAGATGGCTCGCGGGATGTAATCGTGATTCCTATTTCAAACAAGTGAAATCGTATCCTTTAGAACATCCGGATTAAAAAATTAGAAAATCTTTGAGCCATTTAGGACCATCAAATAGTTTTCAAAACTTCTAGATTCTTTCCGAATTTTTCAAAAAACAGTTTCACTTTACGCATCTTTGTTGTTAATCAAAATGTCCACCTACTCTTGTAAGTTTCCTGCAATCAAGGACACGAATACGACTCGACGAGCCAGAGATTCCCGAAGATTGTATCCCTCTGATGCTAGTATCAGTGGTACTACTAGTATATCAGAAAAGTTTGCTGATAAATTTGCTTAGTCTTGCAAGTTCGAGTACGCGTGTACTCGGCACGATCGATCATTGGATCCTTCGGGAATACCCGAGAAGGGACTCGAAGAGGTGATTTTATACAGAGGTGAACACGTGATGGCGCGGGGCGCGTCGATATCGTCGACGGTTGAGACGACGACGACGTCAACAACGGGCGCTTGGAGACGCGATGATGAGGGACGAAGACTTCAGAGCTCATCATGCTTCGGCCCACTGAACTCGTCGTGAGAGATGAAGCCGTTCTTGTCCTTGTCCTCATGCTGGAAGATCTCCTCGACGAGCTTATCGTGATCAGCCAGCATTTTCTTTACGTCTTCAGTTTCACTAACGCCCGCTTGCTCGGCTTCTATCACTTGCTTTCGGAGATAATCGCTCACCTGCAAACAAAAAATTGACCATGTACCAATTAATTAAAACGATTGCATAGAAAATGGCATAAATGTCTATAAAGTATATTATACATATGTAGATTTGTAAAATAACGTTAATATTGTTAAGTTTATAATTCAGTAGAAAATTTAAGTGGATTAAAATATGCATATTAACATGCTGCAAATTATTTCTGTAATACGAAAATTAATTTAAATTTCTGTGTGAGTCAAATTTCTTTTTTGTCTGTGAATATTTTAAAATTTATTTCTCATTTTCAACATGAAAACAATTTCATAACTTTTAATTATCATGATATATCGCAGCAAACATTGCATGACTACAAAGTTCTGTTTGATTTTTTGTTATACGTTATTTGTACTAAATTTTTTGTTATACGTTATTTGTACTAATGTAATACGAATATGTATGAAAAATAATATAATAGTTTCTGTATAATGACATACGAATATATCTATATAATATTTAAAATACAAATGAATTTTAATATTATATTACTTTCGGCCATGCGTATAAAAACAAATAGTTTATATATTAAAATATTTGTAGCACTATTTTTCTACTACCAGCACCACAAATGGCCCAAATAAAAACTTAAAGTGATCTTGCCATTGCTCTCACCTCCTCGCGAGACAGTTGGTTGTCTTTGTCAGCATCGATTTCCTTAAAAACGTTAGCGGTTGGGGGCGAATCGCTAATATTCATAAGTTCAACTTCAAACGTAAGAGTAGCACCTGAAATCAACAATAACCTTTTATGTTAATAGCTTGCATAAAGTATATAAATTATTACAGAGAAATACGGTAGTAAAAAATTTTCTGAGAGCAATAATAATAATTAACACTAAATAATAGGAAATTTACATTTTGTTAATTAAAGCATTAAATTCGTATTATGCTAATACATTTTAATATGGTTCAAAATTAAATAAGCATAAAATTTCAAAAAAAAATTAATTTTCTCTTTTTTTAAATCTAATTTATTTGCTTTGCTAGAGGAAAAATTATTTTATAAAACAATTATTTTTTAATATTTTAAACGATTTACTTTATAAAAAGTTGATATATATTTAGGTGCAAGAAGATTTCCACTTCGAGAGGTTTATCCATTTACTGCAAATACTATTAATCTCGATTTGGCAAATACTCGTAAATCATTTCTAGAACTCATCGATCTGCTGTCAAGCACAAAGCTTTTTACACGTTTTGGCGGATGTACGTGAAGGATATATAGACTATATATTTATAGAGTAAAGGGTCAAATCGACAAGTGTATCTGAATGTGCAAAATAAAAAAGCGTAATAATATAAATGCAGCCTAAATTACAATCTAACATGCCCTTTTACTGGGCTAATTGGTCTGCTGAATGCAATCATTGTCTCTGTGAAGTTTTTAGAAATATTAATTTAGAAATATTAATTGTAATAAAAGAGCTATAAAATGCATTGTTAAATTTAGAATCGAACCCAAAATTAATCATGTACACGTACACGTTCAGATACCTAGACACGGCTAAACATTAATAATAATGCATACAGAAATTCGATTGCCAATAATAGTGTCTATAGATATCCGAAATAACAATGACCAGCAAATGCAGCTGGGGAGGGGCTAACGAAGTGTTCGGCACGGGAGAGAATGCATACGCGCGCTCGGCACGTCCAGCCATTAATTATGGATGGTCCCGTCGCGATTAAGCTGGCCCTAATGAAATATGGCGCTTAATTATTCACTACTTAAACGAGTGAAATTAATACGGCGAATAATAATGCGCTGCCCGGTGTAACAGCCACTGTCGCCTTGGAAATTGAACGTGAGAAATGGAGAGGGATGATGGGAATATTCCAATCCTCGCGCGCGGTTCCCTCTAGTATTCTTTATCATCGTATTCCGTGTGGAAGGACATTTCGATGGCAATGGTTTGCCGTGTAGTTAAAAAACGCCCACAA